TGCGGTCGCGGCTGCGGTCGCGGCTGCGGTCACGGCTGCGGTCGCGTCCGCGGTGGCGGCGGCTTCGGCTGCGCGAGCGGGTCCGGGAACGACTTCTGCTACGGCCCATGCCAATTTCGAATGGGCCGAGTGAGGAGGCGAGCTCTTCGAAAATCCCGCCGTATCAGCCAATCCCTACCGCACAAATTCAGAACCCCCCCGATTTTGGCCAATCATGTATCCTGTTGCCACACGCTCCTAAATTCGGCATTTCGATTCGAACGGGTGGGCCAAAGCGGCATCAAAATCGAAGGTGCCGAATTGAGCGCGCAACCTTGGGCGTTGCTTTTTGGCTCACACATCCTGCAGCCCAAGAAGCAATAAGACCCCCATGCTCGGCCCCAGTATAACTAGGACGATAGCTCGTGGAGACCAGTACACCTCTCGCGGAGACTATAGATTCGCTTGTGGGGAACATTCGCACGCTCACGCGCTCCCGTGGTGAGGAGACCGCCCACTTCAATGTGGCATTTCCAGAACCAGGTTCGGCGACAAAGTATCTTTGTTGCGAGCAAAATTGAAGACGGCAATGGTGGGCTCCGCGTTGCCTTTTTATCCTGATAACCCAACATTGCTCCCAGTGGGGGGGTCACGGCTGCAAGCACACAAGAAGGACTTCGTCTTGTCTCTTATCACCGCCATCGGTCTTCCATCAAGCAGCCAAGTTCCCGACCTCCGATCTCGGTGTCAAGGTGATGGCTCGTGCGCTTCACGTAGGGTGGCGCTGGTCTTTCGAGGCAATTTAATGCTGTGTACCCAACCGGCGGCAAACCTTGCTTTGTAAGTGGTTCCTCTCAGCAGAATTGCAGTGGTCTGTGTGCGGCGCAGATTCCTTTTGGCGAGATTCGATTCCTGCGACCAGGCGCGAGTGGCGGTTGTGACGCGGCCAGTGTCGATATCTGGACATGCGCTGATGGCGTCCACTCCGAACAGCTTACCGGTACTACGTCCGGAACCATATACACACAGGCATGCAGCGTCTCGGTCATTGCCAACAAAAGCCGTTGGGAAATCAAGCACGTCTGGTCGCTGTCTGGTCAATTTCCTGTCGTCAACCGTCGGAACCACCCGCAGAGATGAAGCCAACACCAACGAAGAGGGAACTTCCATAATGGAAAGAGGAAACGGAGCCTGGCTTCGAAGTCGGTGCTTGGAAATCGAAGAAGCACTTGAAAGTGGTTACCTTCACGATTGATTTGGGTGGACCTGATCCGCGTCAAGCCACCGAGCAGCTAGCCACAGGGCGTGACGAGACCTGCCGAAGATCGCTCCGTTGAGACGAAAAAGAATGACACGAGTTTGCGTTTGGATACTTTTTCGCCCGATTTAATAAATATATGGATGTTTGTATGCAATAATTTCATATCATGCGAAACGACCCAACCTCAACACGAGGATTTTCGGAATAGCGCTCATTTTCAGTTTGACCATGGCCAACGCAGGAAGGTAGGAGACAACGGCCTGGGGTCGCAACGCTCATGCGCTCGTAGCTCGTCGCTTCGCGCCGTCGTGGCTTTGACCAACCATGGCAACCGGGCGCCCAGCGACACCGCCCCAATCCTCTGCCCCAAGAACGCGGCCAACTTCGACAAGTACGGCGTGCCTTTCATGCAGCTCACGGACGCGGGCATGCGCCAGATGTACGCCGCCGGTCAGCACACGCGGGCTGTGTACGTCGACAGCGCGCACTTCCTCTCGCCGACGTTCAAGCAGAAGCGCCATTTCGAGACGTACTTTCGGGCCGACGCCGCGACGAGCTGCGGCCAGAGCGCGACGACGTTTGGGTACGGGCTCTACCCGAGCGTCAACAGCAACCTCCCGTTCCCGAACCCGATCCCGATCGTCATGCAGCTCGCGTCCAACGAGTTTGAGTTTGGCGTCACAGATGGCCCATGCGCCGAGACGCTTAGCGCCGACTTGGTCGCCTATGGCGCGACGCGCGGAAAGGCGCTGCTGAAAGCCCACGCGCCGCTCGTCCAGGCGCTCTCGGACGTGTGTGGCACGGACCTCTCGGGCACAGATACGATCACGAGCCTCAACGTGCTTGCCGACATGGCCAAGCTCGACCGGCTCGAGGGCCTGCCGCCGACGCTCGGCCTCACGGACGCCATGTACCAGGAGCTGCAGGAACTCGCGCTCACGCAACGTATGGAGCGCTTCCTCGGGACGCCGCGCCAAGTGACGTACTACATGGGCGGCTTTCCCGCGATGCTGCTCTCGAACCTTGCGCCGGTCAGCCCGTCGTCGCCGTACAAGTTTTATGCGTACACGGGGCACCGCGAGCTCTTGCACGGCATGGGGCTGCTGTTGGACTGGCGCTTTGACATGCACGGCGAGGCACGTGCCCCGGGGTTCAATACGACTGCGCTGCCGCCCGCGACGACCATGTACTTTGAGCTCCACGAAGAGAACGATCGCCAGCTTGTGCGCACGTTTCTGTGGTCGCCGCTCACGGGCCGGGCGCCCGTGCAGCTCGGCAAGTGCAGCGCGCTCGACTGTCCGATGGACGAGTTCCGCGGCATCCTCGAGGCGCACGTGGCGGCCACGTCGTCGTGGGAGAAGCTCTGCGCGTACCACCCGGTCAAGAAGGTCAAAAACATGCATTTCGGAAGCGACCCGGTCGAGGACTCGGTGACGTCGTTCATCATGTGCGCGGCCCTCGTGCTGTGCACGGTCTTTGCGATGCACTCGGCGTACCGCCGCATCAACCAGTTCAAGCGTCGCGACTACACGCCGATTTAGCACTCGTATGTTTTGTTAAATGTTGCCGCTGCTGTCATCCGAGTCGTCCGTGTCGGCTAGAAGCGGCGCCTCGCAGGCTACGATACCGCCGTCGTCCAGACCGTAGACATCGTCGTCGGGCAAGAACCGATACAAGACCTTGTTCTCGGCTGTTGTTGTCGTCGCACGCCGAGGAAACCGACGGTGGAAATGAAGGATGGCGCCGATCGGGAGGAGCTCGAGGAGCGCGTAGAAGAGGAGAATGACGCCCCACGAGAGGTGTGTGCCGAGCTGCACGTGGTCTTGCGCGAGGTAGATGACGAGAAGCGACCGGCTCGTAAAGCACGTTGTGCAGACGACGGTCATGCGCGTCACCTCCTTGAGCTTCTTGGAGCGCACGCCTAGATCCACCGGCACCGACCTAATGGTGATCACGCCGTTATCCTCGCAGCCCATAACGGAGGAGCGAGCAAGATGTACCGAAGCTCGACGTAGGCGAGGCGCCCGTAGACGAGGAACGCCAGCGTGACGATGCTAAACATGGTGGTCGTGTACGCTGCGTAGCCACGGCCAATGTAGTGATCTCATACAAGACATTAAACTCGGTTGTTGCGATCGATGATGTACCTTCGGATCGCCACGGGTCGGCGTAGAGCACCCAGAGCGCAATCTGGAGGATGTACGCGCACACGTGAAGCGTCATGGCCGTGGGCTTGACGACGTAGCTGAAAAAGTCGACTTGATCCGTCGCATTGTAGTACACTTCGGCCCAAAAGAGGCCCATGAGGAGGTAGAGCGAGAAGAAGAGCAGGTTGGGCAGCTCATCCGCGGCGTAAAAGAGCTGGCGCTCGATACCGTTGGCTTCGCACGCCGGCGATAGCACGCCCGTGCCAGCGACGTGGCACCAATCGTTCACGCCCACGGCAAGGAGGAAGACGGCGCGGGTCAAGGCCAAGAGCACGAGGATCGCATGTGCCACCTTTTGCTGCGTCCACGCAGCGTAGCTTCTGCAGTTGCGCACAAGCTGGACGGCGCTCAGCACAAAGACACACACGTAGAAGAGGCCTGTGGCCGCGAAGGCGCGGCGGTTGGCCTCGGCAGCGGCCGTCTCGTTCCCACTTGACGCTGCCCATGGAGCGACCATCCCCATCACGGATGCGAGAACTTGGTCAGCGAAGTTGGATTTTTTTAGCTCGCTCCGGGTCGCCTCCGGGTATTTTGTCCTACGGATTTTGTCCCAACTCCGAAAGGGCGATTATCCGGAATCCGGCCTATTGTGATTGCAAACGTGTTTGCAAATTTGGGATCGCGGATGAATTCCGGTTGCCGACGGACTGAATCGTGATCAGCGAGAGCAGTCGTAAATGCAAGTGGACAATGCCAGTAGCTACCTGACCATGTAATAGCCAATCACATAGAAGCCGCCTCGACAGTGATCCAGGGCGTGCGCAAGGCAACTCGCCAAGCCAACTTGAAGTGGCACGGATGCGCCGTGTAAATTAGGCTGTTTTTCACCTGGGTTTCGCATACCTCACCGTGGGGCACTGTAAATCACGTGGAAGTCGATCGGCTTCCACCACGCCTTTTCAAGATCGTCGGTGGACGACCAGAACTCACGCTCGGAGGTGCGTCCGCTGCTACAGCGTGGAGATCACGATAGGATCGAGTTGCTACCCGAGCGTCTGCCCCCGTGATGTTAAAACTTCGTTCACGCTGCCCGAGTGCGTACTCGCTCACGTGGGATGGTGCAATCTCTCAAAATCGTCCGGATACCGTGCCCGGCTGTATTAAACCGTATTAAACGCTGTATAAAACGAATGCACCAATCACGCATTCACACGTCATACGGCGCGTATCATTCATCACCGTCCTTTGGTATCAGACTCGTATCTTGTGTATGAGAATCGTACGCCAATGCGGACGCGCGCGGACACGTGCCCAGCACGATGCCAATTCGTGTGTCTTTTGTGTTTAAAACGCTTGAAGCGTACACTTGCGGCGTTGCTTTTATTTAAATCGCCGTATTTTATTCCACGACAACGTGTGGCGCCTGGGTGCTCTATCGCACGGCGAATTCGTTTTTCTAAAATTAGCGTGAAATTTGAAATAATATTTTGCCAATTAACCGGATTATGGTCGTCGGTCACTTGGGCTTGAACCACGTGACGGAGAGCGCCGGACATCCACGAGGATTTGTCCATTTGCCGATTTACCAGCTCATGTCGACGATGGCTCCCGGTGCTGCGACGACCAACGCGACCTCCATCACGACGCTCGCGACGACCAAGTCGGTCCGCACCAAGGACGACCACCTCAACGACACGGAGAAGCTGGAGAAGATGGCCGCGGCCGTCAAGGTGCTTCTCGAGGTACGCTGCTGCTGCTGCAAGACACGGGTAGATGCTAACATGCCATGGGATAGTGCTTGGGCGAAGATGTCAACCGCGAAGGCCTCGTGAAGACGCCGATGCGCATGGCCAAGGCGCTCCTCTACTGCACCAAGGGCTACACGCAGACGCTGGAAGACGTCTTGAACGACGCTGTCTTCACCGAAGATTACTCGGAGATGGTCATTGTCCGCGACATTGAGCTCTACTCGCTCTGCGAGCACCACATGGTGCCGTTCGTGGGCAAGGTGCACATTGGCTACATCCCGAACGGCAAGGTCCTCGGCCTGAGCAAGCTCGCGCGCATCTCGGACGTGTTTGCCCGCCGCCTCCAGGTCCAGGAACGTCTCACGATCGAGATCGCGCAGGGTCTCATGAAGGCCATCGGTGCGCTCGGCGTCGGCGTCGTGATTGAAGCCACGCACATGTGCATGACGATGCGCGGTGTCGAGAAGAGCGGTGCGTCCACGGTCACGAGCTCCGTACTCGGCTGCTTCCAGTCGGACCCGCGCACACGCTCTGAGTTTATGAGCCACGTCCAGCGCCGGTTCTAAGCTGCCCCTTGTCGTCGTAACGAGTCGTAACTATGTCTGTGCAAGACATCCAAATGCAATCAATCCAATGCATGTATTTCTACTCTCTCCACCGTCTACCAACGATCATCTAAGCGTCTACGACGGCGGTCGTGTCGCGGATCGACTTGGTCTTGGTAAACTTGGCGCAGAAGAAGCCCATCGTGTCGATCGCGTCGGACGGGTCGAAGCGCTGAACCTTGGCCGCGTCCTCGGGGGACAGGCCCATGTCGAGCAGCCCTGGCGCGCCCACGATCGGCGACTGCGGGACGAGCTCCAGCGGGTACTCCTTCAGTGCGTGCGCGACCATTTTTTCGTTCTCGTTGGGGTTGACCGTGCACGTCGAGTAGACGAGCGTACCCCCGGGCTTGAGGAGGAAGACCGCGGCCCAGAGGAAGTTGCGCTGCATGTTGGAGTATTGGTCGAGTTCGCTCATGTTGCACGCGTGCAAGAGCCGCGGGCGCAGTCCCAGCGCCGAGCATGGCGGGTCCAGCAGAATCTATCCCGGCAACATGAGTTCCACCGTCGTCGCTTCCTTGAGTCGTACTACCTTGTCAAAGGTTTCGGGGCTAAAGCCGTCGATTTGAAGGAGCTTCTCGTTCGTGCGCGCCTTGGCCGCCGCTGCAATGATCTCCTGGACGCTCAAGACGTCGCTGTCTTTTGGTCGCACCGACTGCGTCGAATCCAGCTAGACACATCCTCCCATTCTCAATCTCAACGTCAACCTCAAATTGAAAAAAAGCAAACCGTACGCGAATCGGCGTGATGATCGAGAGACCGATCGAGTCAAAGTAGCTCTTCATCTCGAGCACCTTGCGCTTGCTGCGATCGCACGCCACGAGCGTGCCCTTGTTCTGCATGAGCGTCGCAAGGTGCGACGTCTTGCCGCCGGGCGCCGCGCACATGTCGAGGACGGTCTCGCCCGCTTTCGGGTTGAGCACGTGGGCGACGACACTTGACGGCGTGTTCTGCATGTAGAGCTCACCAGCAAGCACGCCGTTGAGCGGTGGTGCGTCCGAGCAAAACTACGTTTTGAGTTTGAGAAAACGACGTCAGCATGTCGACGTACGCGCGTGTTGACGGCGACGGCCAGGCCCTTCATTGCACGGAACATTTCGCTGCGCGCCATGGCCGTCGTGCCCTGCGCGATGAGCACCTTGCGCCCCGTGTGGAGCTCGGCATCGCTGCCGCGCGTTGCCGAGTGGTCGAGATCGACAAAGATGGCGACCGGCTCGCTGTGGCTGAGCGCGCTGCTGGCGCACATGACGCCACGCGCAAAGATGTCGCTGCCACGGAGCACAGCCTCGCCGCAGAGGCGGTCGACAATGATCTTCTTCCGGCTCACGACTTCAGCGACGTCGAGCGCAATCCGCGGCGCGGACGGCACCATGACGACGTCGGGCAGGGAGGCGTGCGGCACGGCGACGATTGGTGGGCGACCCGCCGACGCCAAGCGCGCGTTAAAGTCCTTGAGCGCCTCGTTGAGTTTGAGGACGAGCGCGGCCTGGTCCGTCACGAGCGTGTTGACGCGCACCGACGTGTACGCCGGCCTAGTACACTAGGTGTGTCACACCTCTTATGAAAATGGATGGTACGGGCGCGCGAGGGCCTTCTTGATGTCGTCCCAGTGCGCTTGGCCGTACGCAGCGCTGAAGCTTTCTTCAACGTCGTCCGGGAACTTGAGGGCAAAGTCGTCCAAGGTCACGATGTCGGCGGCGGCGCTCATGCTTGGTCGAGGGCTCGAAACGAATGTGATTGGTGTATCAAGTCAAGGAAACGCGTCTGATTGGCCAGGCATTGGTGGTGGACTCTTCCGCACGCGATCTTTCCGCGCCAGAATGCTCGAGGTGCTAGAGTTGCAGCTCTGCTTAATGAGCATGCGGGAACAGCGACGACTCCTTGCAAGGGCCCTGACTGCTGGTTTTGCTCGTCGAAAGAACTGCGTGCTCGCGATAGGTGCCTGAGTGAAATGCTTCATGGCTCCACTCTGTACTCGCCGTGGCGGGTATATTTATTGCGCCGACGGCTCGCTGTCATGAGGCTGCACGCCGTTCTAATTGTCCAAGCTCTGTCAATCAAGCGTCAGCTGCAAGATGGGCACACGATTACCTCGAACAACGAGATCAAAAGTCATGGCGGCATGGTGTGGATGACGTTAGCTGACCCCTCTCGGCCACCGATGCGAGGAGTTTTAGAGAAAACCGTGTTGGCTCCAAGGACAGGCCGCTACCACAACATCATGACCTGTCTCGAGCGGGTTCATGTGGCCCGTATGACTCCATTCCCGCGATCCGCGTGCCAGAATCCATCCTGAAGCGAGCACAGAGACCCCAGTACCTAGACCACACTTCGTTTCTGAGGAATCCATCCTGAAGCGAGCACAGAGACCCCAGTACCTAGAACTGCATGACTACACTTCGCTTATGAGGCGACTGACGAACGGGCTACATCAATGTCTTGATCCGTGAAGGGGTCTACATGATGCCGGCAAGGCGATAGTAGATTGAAAAAGTCATTGTTATGGACTCAGATATGGAGAGGGTACCGGTTGCGTCCTGACGAGAGTACTGTCGCCACCAGCTTTGTATCCCTGGTTTTGCATCGTCGGGTGAATATAATGTCCAGACATGTCGAAGGCGAGGATAGGACCCTTCCGCGACACCCGAGAGAGTATAGCTCTTCAATCGCTCAGTCTCTAAGGCTGAGAAGCAGCCAACGAAACGACCAACCGACATCGGGTAGCTCGTCAACGTCAGCGATAATCGTTTGCTGTTTGTCCTCGAGGCGACTTGGTACAATTGCGCCCTCGACAACTGCATCGATGCGAGCTGGTCCAGGCTGGGCTTGGACACAGGAAGGGCCTCTTGCAGCCTCAGTGCGTCCAAACTGCCCCAAACGGAGAGTCATGCTACGTGTGGTGCACCCAGACATGTCAGATTGTCTTGCGGATCGCAACTTTGGTTTTCAGAATTCCTTTTTTCGTGTTTCCTACTGTGGCCACTGGCCAGACATTGAGGTCGAGAGGGTTACGTCACACAGCCAAGTTGCGCTCGGACAGAGCGTGGTATCGAACGCAGCAACGTCATTTTCGAAGCGTCCATTCACCTATCAGAACGGAGAAGCGGTGCACCCGGTTTCAACGCAAGAGATAGTGCCATTGCGGCATGTCGGACGCCAACGACATGCGCTCGCATCTTCGCGCGCTTCCGCACGACCTCTGGATCGTACTTGAAATGCTCTTCGTATTGTGGCGCTCTCTGATGCAAAAGTAGATTCTGGGCTCGCACCACGCGCGGTGCGTCCTTCTCATCTCGTCGCTGACGTCGTTTGGTGCCTACGCGCTTGCCAAATACTACCGCGACACAGCAGCAATCGACGCGTTCCCAGCCCACACGATTTGGCTGCTTCTGACGCGCCTCGGTGACGTTGTCCTCGTTGGGTACCCATGGCTCCTCTCGCAGCCTCGGGCGGCGCGGAGCCTCTATTGTCGTGGCTGGTACGTCTGCCTCGTTGGCGCCGAGCTCGCTTCGGAGCTCGTCTACCTCGCCGCGCCGCCCAACAAGCACCTCTGGGAAAGCCCACGGCACACGACAAGTCTCTTCAAGGTCCTCGTCACAGTCCACTTTGCTCTCTACTTTGCCGTCATGTACCTGTACCCGTACTATGCAACGAGCGGTCGTCGCAATTCGACTGTCGCAGCGTGTGGCCCGCCGCTCCAGGCGATCTCTGCCGCGCTGCCGTCTCCACGTCCACTGGCTGACATCAGCTGCCTTCCACGGTTCCTGGCCCGTCTCGGGCAGCCCCAGCTCGCCGGCTACGATGTCATGCTCTACTCGGCGGCGTCCATGGTGCTTCCGTACCTCGAACCGTCCATCAACCTCATTGCGGTCGGGCCCGTTTTCTTCGTGCATGTGCTCTTGGCGCTCGGAACGCGTTCCCAATGGCACGCGTCGCGCAGCCGCGGCTTTTGCCTCCTCTTCACCTCCTTCCAGGTACTAGTATCAACGCCTACGTAGTTGCTGTGCGCTGACCATGGCAACGACGGCGTAGATGTGCATTCACGCGCTGCCAACGTTTGTGATTGAAAACCTCTATGGGCGGAATGGCAACGGGTCGTCCAAGAGCGTCTTTGCGACGCTCGCCTACTACGTTCTTATGGGCACGTACGGGCATCTCTGGCGCCTCGTTGCGCGCTACGCCACGTCCGAGGAAGACCACGTGATCCTATTGACCTCCTGCAGCTGTTTGATAGCATTTTCGGGTCGTCATCGTCTTCCTGCATGTCCACTCACTTGGCGTACTAGGTACATGGCGTTTACGGGCACGCATCGCTTCGACGGTGTTTACGGCCTCCTCTTGCTGCTGACGTTTGGCCGCATTTTTACGCGCGACAGCAAATGCCTCAACGACCTCGGCACGTGGCTCCTCTGCGCTTACCTCGGGAAGGCATCCGCGCCGATCCTCGAGCGTGCCCACGTGCAATGCAGCCGGCTCCTCAAGGCGCGCCAGAACATGGTGCTGAACCTCGCCAGCTCGCTCATCATCCCGAGCCTCTTTGTGCTCGAGATCTCGCTGCGCTGGCACGTCCTCTCGCCGTCGATCGCCAAGATGTCCATGTCGTTTGTTCTCTACTCGGCGCTCGCGCAGTTTTTGACGCGGCTCGCGGGCGGGGCAAGTGCGTGGGTCTACCTCCGGCACCGCGCGGCCACACTCGGGCACGAGCTCCCGAAAGAGGCCGCGCTCCCGCTCGTGCGACCCAGCACGATGCTGCCAGCGATGAACGCGTACTGGGCGACCCACGCGACCTACTTGTACGTCTGCGTGGGCTATGGCGCCATGAGCGCCATCATGCTCCTCGGCAAACTCTACCTGCAGCTCGATATCGACGTCGACGCTAGTATGAGGCAGTAGGACAACGATCGGTAAAGAGATATATACATATGTGCAATTAACACGAGACGGCTCTACGCTTGAAGCGCCATCTTGTCGAGCGATTCCTCCAAGCCCGAGGCCGCGGCTTCCTTGACGCGCTCGTCGTGCATCTCGACGTAGTGCGGGAAGAGCTTCCGGAAGGTCGTGTTGGTCGGGAGGCAGTTGTGCGCCAAGGACGCCGCCGCCAAGCGCTGCTTCTCTTCGTCCGTCGTCTCGATGCTACCGGTCGTCGGCGTGTCTTCGTTCATGAACGAGAAGAGACCCGTGAGGATGCTGCCGACCGACCACATGGGGTTCCACGTCTCCGGGTGGAAGTCCGACATGCTCAAGCACAGGCGCGTGTTGGGCTCGAAGCGGCCGCTGGGCGTCGCCATGTACACGGACGGCGGCTTCATCGGGTACTCGGGCGGGAACTTGAGCTTCCCGTGGTAGAGCCCACCTTCGTAGACGCCGACGCCACGGATGACGTAGTGCCACTCGAGGATGTTGCTCTCGAGCGGGACGGCCTCGATGTTGTCGACCGGCTTCTTCTTGAGGCCCACGTACTCCTTGCGGAGCCGCGTCGTTGCCATGGACGGAGCCATTTCCGAGGATTTCGATTCTGGAAGCGCTGCCACGACCAGCTTATTTTCGGCACAAGTGCCGAATCGAACGTGGCCCGTCGAACGATGGCAGGTGGCAGCGGCACTATTGGCGCTTTGGCATTAGTGGCGCTTTCTGAGATTTCTTATTGCGCAAGTGAGGAGCGAGGAGCGGAGGCGCGCGGTCTTGTTGCGAGAGCATCGCGCCGCAAGCTGCCGCTTTGTGTGAAAAGCTTGGGAGAACCCATGGAGAACTCGCAAAGAGCAATCTCGTGTTGTGGTCTTGCGGATATGGGGCACGATGCAGCGACTCTTTATGGTGTTGCGATAGCGCCATGCATGTCCAAACGCGCGATGCACCATGTCCACGCGCATGAACAGATCGTACGCCATCGGCCTGCCAGCATGATTTCGGCTTACCAAGTCCACACCGTCTCACAAAGCTGTAAAGATATATAGTCGTTGCAGCATCTACCGCATACATGGGCAGCCGCCTCCTTGCCATGTTTGTCATCGGCATGTGGCCTTCACGTTGGCCGCATGCACTTGTTGCTTGGCGCCAATTTCGGCCAAAATACCGTCGCATCATATATGTATTGTGCGAGGTTTATCCGGCTTCTGTCCGGATACCAGAGGCAAATGACTGGTGCGAGAGGCGATTGGTGGTTGGCATGAGCGCGAGTGCAATCTCGCGTCCACTTGTCATTTCGAGAAAGAAGTAATCGATGGCTCCCGCTAAGACTGCCGCTAAGAAGCCCGCCGCCAAGAAGACGGTCGCCCGCCGCCAGAACGTCGTCTTGGCCCGTGGCATCAACGCCATCTCGGCCAACTCGCTCGCCAAGTCGAACGGCCGCTTCAAGGCCGGCCCAAGGCCTCGCAGAAGAAGGCTGTCGTCACCAAGACGCTCCGCAAGCCCAAGTGGTACCCCACGGACTACGTCCCGAAGCCGCTCCCGTCGGCCAAGACCGCCCGCAACTCGGTCAAGACCGCCAAGCTCCGCGCCTCGATCACGCCCGGCACGGTCCTCATCCTCCTCTCGGGCCGCTTCCGTGGCAAGCGCGTCGTGTTCCTTAAGCAGCTTGCTTCGGGCACGCTCCTCGTCACCGGTACGTTGCACGTCCTGCATGTGATTATGCCCACTCGCGGGATTCCGACGATGAAAAACGACACCTGAGAGGCCTGCCATCAAGACTTGGGCCGCAATGGATCCATGCGGCATGCTGCGCCGGCGTTCGGGATGGATCGGAGTGAGTAGTCGGTCATCCTGGCGCCGGTGGCGGTGTCGTGTGCCCGGCGTAGCCCTTGTCGCGATTCCAGCCGAGGAATTTCAGATTATGAGACCTGAGGAATCCTGGGCACTGCTTGTCTCGATGCATGAACCTGCGGCTTATCCTGCTCCTTCTTTAGGCCCGTACAAGGTCAACGGTGTCCCGCTCCGCCGCGTGAACCAGGCCTTCGTCATCGCCACGTCGACGAAGGTTGACATCTCGGACGTCAAGCTCCCGGAGATCAACGACGCCTACTTCGCCCGCGAGAAGACGTCGTCGAAGAAGGACGAAGAGGCTTTCTTCGCCCAGGCCTCGACGGTACGCTGCACTCTTTCTGTCTGTTGTGGTGGGTCGAACGACCACTTGTGACACAAGGCCGTCATCCTTTACTGGTTGACGTGCCGTCTCGGCGCTTGGAATCGCTGCAACAAAAAGCTCCCAGTCACGCAAATGCTGATGGTATGTTTTTAGGCTGCCATCGTCTCGGAGCAGCGCAAGAAGGACCAGAAGATCGTCGACGCCGCTCTTCTTAAGAAGATCGCCGCCGTCCCGGCCCTCAAGCACTACCTCAACGCCAAGTTCTCGCTCACGAAGAACGACCGCGTCCACGAGTTGAAGTTCTAAATGGAGTGCCATTGGAATGAGAGATTGGCGAAATGACAATACAGCGCAGCTTATTACTTCAACTTTTCTCGATTGCACTTTCTTCCAGCGCAGTCCTCCGACCTGCAAGTCGAACGGGTCGGGCGTCCACGGCTTCGCATCTAGAGGCGGTCCTTGCTACATGTAGCAGCCATGCCACTAGGCTACTTGGTAGATTCACCTAGGACAAGCTCCGTAGACTGTCACGCCACGCCCCTCGTCCCCTCGTACCGGCCACCGCGGTGACTTGAGAAGACGATCTGCGTATGCATACATAATGGAAACATGTATTCTTCGAGCGCGACGCGAGCTTATAAATCGCGCATGTAGTCTTCGAGCGTGTCCTTGAGCTGGTCGGGGAGATTGAGCGGGAGCTCCTTGATGTCGCAGCCGTCGCGGTGCGGCGAGAGCTCGTACACGATGCCCACCTTGGTCGGGAGGTGCGGGAGGTCCTCGGCCGTGACGCCCATAAAGTAGCCCATGAGGCAGCGCATGATCGACTCGCTGCAAATGATCAAGCAGTCGCGCTTCTTGCGCTCAAACTCAATGATGAGCGGGCGCAGGCGGCAAATGACGTCAATGTAGCTCTCGCCACCGGCGCCTGGGTACCTACAACTCTCAATCTCAGTGCCGTTGCCAGCCAAAGCCGTGACTGTACCGGTAGCGGAGCTTGTCTTTGGTCCGCGCGTCAAGGTGGCGCGGGTAGTAGTTGGCGAGTTCTTCGCGCGTAAAGCCCTCGAAGTCACCGCCACCGAGCTCGTTGAGAAGCGTCGTCTTGACCACGCGCTTGACGTGCTCGCGCGGAATGTACGACGACGTCTGCTTCGCCCGCTTCATCGTGCTGTGCCACACGTCGATGGGCCGCTTCGTCTCGGCGATCGCCGTCACCATAAACTCGGCGAGGGCGTGCGCGACCACGTGGCCGTCGTCCGTGAGCTCCTCGTCGCCGCCCAAGATGTGCTGCACGCCGTTGCGGTTCGGGCCTGGCCGCACGAGCCAGAGCTTGCGCTCAAAGAGGTGAATGTTCTACTCGACGATGATGCAGATGATGATGATGGTGACGACGACGACGGAGGCTACCTGGAGGAAGGACACGGCTTGGCTGGGCAAGAAGCTTTGGCAGAAGCGTGCTTGGACCTTCTCGCCCGCCTACAGCAGTGTGGTGTGCGTGAGCAGGATACTGTACCAAAGCCTATCCTGTGCAGTCGACGTACGTTGAAGACCTTGACGTAGCAGATGCGCCCGTCGTTCTCCGCGTCCTCGATCGTCTCGTAGACCGCCTCGTACTTGGCGACGCGCTCCTTAAAGTCGGCAAGCGCCGTCTCGGGGTCGGCGTTGACGTAGTCGTCGTTCTTGAGCTTGCTATGATCGCGTGGGTGCTGAAGCCCGAGAGGAGGAGGTACTACTAGTACCGGAGGTAGTTGGCTTCGAGCATCGGGATCGAGTCGCAAATGTTTTCAATAAACATGACTTGGATGTTGGGCACGCTCTTGAGCGTCTGCCACACGAGTTCGCGGCGCGCCTTGGTCGTGTTGGTCGCGTCAAAGACGGCGACGTGGCCGCCGTCTTCGATCCACGCAATGAGCTCCATGAGTGCTTCCATCGCGAGCTACGCGCATGCGCTATGGAGAATGCATGGCAGGCGACGGTAGCGTACCTCGTCGCGGATGCGCTTGGCTTCGACGTTCTCGGCGTCGAAGAAGGCTGCGTCGATGGCCGCCATGCCCTCTTGGCGGCGGTAGTTGCCTGCGTTGAAGATCTTGGTCGGGAACCCGAGCCAGGCCGTGTACTTGGTCAGCTTGCGCATGACGAAGCTCTTGCCCCGCGCGGGGAGGCCGACGGTCACGAGCACGAGTCGCTTGAAGGACATGCTTTCTAAACTCCACATACCATCTGCTTCGACCATGACCCGGGACCCGCGCCGCGTCAACGCCATTGCCGCTGTCTTTCTTTGTGCACCCCTGTCGCCATTTTGCCGTTGTTTCCAACACTCGTTGTGTTTTAAACACACGACCAGCGAACCTTCGGCCCCCAGCCCCCTCGACTTCCTGCATCCGCCCGGCTAATTGGCACAGCCGTGCTTTTCCGCCTTGTGAGGCTGCTTGTGAGGCCTCGAGCGGACAAAAGCAGGTCCGACAAAGCGGTCGTCCAAGGATTGTAGCGGGTGGTGCTGCGAGGTCCCATTGGCGTCAGTGCGATGATGCTAGTACAATTACTTCGCCCTTCTTGGCGCAGCTGCGATTGCGATTGGCGATCGTCGTCCGGGGGTCCTGAAGGGTCCTCCAGATTCCATTCGGATCCAAACAGAATGGCCGAGATTCTGTTTAAAACAGGGGGAGATACACAACCGAACCTCGCAATTACTGCTTGCACGCGTCTGGACCCGACGCTGTCGCGCACGGAGGCTGTTGCCATCAACGCAGAGAACCACCGATGCATACGCTCGTGCCGTTGCACCTGGCGGCGGGACCGTCTTCGTGCGTCGCGTGGTGCCTTTGCCATCGCCGCCGGCGCGGACCGTCGTAGAGACACGGCCTCAGTGTCGCACTCTTGGAGCGTAAAAGACACTTCGCGGCAAGAAAACCCGCGTGCGCAGCGTCTCTGGCACCTCGACGCGGTGTCGACGGCGCCCGTGTCTTTGACCGTGAGCGTCAACACGACTTCAACGCTGGGGGCGACAGGCCGTCGCCGCATTACATCCGAGGCCGCTGCGGATCGCATCAACATTTCGCGCACCATAATTGCGTCGGGTCTGGGACGCGCATGCCTACTTATACGTAGCAGTACGAATATCAAGTACATGTACTAGTAGCTAGTTGGGCGATGGCTGCACCGCCGACGCCGCGATCTTGCGCGGATAAATCCAGTGGGCGCAGTAACGTCGCGAGTACGGTTTCCGGAAACACCTGTCGCATGCGCAGCGAGAAGATCCTGGTCGCGGTGCGGGCGCGCCCGAGTCCAAAGGCGGATGGCCCGTCTGCCATCTCGTGGGCCGACGACCGCGTCTTCGTCGCCAACGGAGACGCCGCCGCCGCGAGCTTTCGCTGCGACCGCTTCCTCGACGCGGCCATGACCCAGGAGGCTGCCTTTGTCGCATCGGGTATGGCCACGCTCGTGCAGAGCGCCGTCGACGGGTACGCGGCCACCATCTTTGCGTACGGCCAGGTACGCTGCCATTCCCGAGGCTCGGCGACGGACGCTTGCGGCGCTAGACGGGCGCCGGCAAGTCGCATACGATCTTTGGGCCCGAGCGGTACCTCGTGCCGCCCACACGTACACGGCCATCGATCGACACACACAATAAGACCTTACGACTATGCATTAGACCTGCGCGGGTCGAGCCAAGGTTTTTTGCCGCGCAGCGTTGCGCTGCTCATGGACTGCATCGCGTCCAAGCTCGGCGAGACCCGCTGCGCCGTGCGCGTGACGTGCGTCGAGATCTACAACGAGTCCGTCCACGACTTAATCGCACCGAGTGCGCGGCCGCTCACAGTGCGCTGGAGCAAGGCGACGGGCTTCTTTCTCGAGGACGCTACTGTCGCGTCTTGCGGCACGTACGAAGAAGTCATGACCGTCGTGCTTGCGGCCGCCGCCAACCGCGTCCACTCGAGTCACCGCCTCAATGATCGGTGCGCAGGTTGCCGTGAATGAAGAATTAAGCGCTGCGCAGGTCCAACCGAAGCCACTGCCTCGTAACGCTCTATGTCGACAGCGAGACGAACGGCGTGCGCAAGTACGGCAAACTAACGATCGTCGACTTGGCCGGGAGCGAGCGTGCCCACGTAAGATGAATACCTACTCGTCGTCTGCAAGCACACTTTTTCTCATAGGACACGGGGGCCGTGGGCACGCAGCTCAAGGAGTCGGGGTACATCAACAAGAGCCTGTACTGTCTGAGCCAAGAACGTGTTTGCCAACGGTGTCTTCGTGCTCTTATTCTCTCTCGCAGGTCATTGGGGCGCTCAACGCGGCGGCGCACAACAAGACCACGTTCGTGCCGTACCGAGACTCGAAGCTCACCATGGTACGCTGCCGGGATGACGACCACTGACGAGGACTAGCTGCTCATCGACAGCCTTGGCGGGCGCAGCCGGACGCTCATGCTTGCATGCGTCAATGCAGCGCCCGAGTTTAGCCGCGAGTCGACGCGGACCCTCGAGTTTGCGATGGGCGTCGCTCGAATACACAACGAGCCCACGGTGGCATTGAGCCCGCAGGTATCAGTACTGTGTCGGCGCTATCGCATCGAAGAACGCTGCGTAGGACAAGCTGGTCATGGACCTCCGGGCTCAAATCAAGCAGCTCCAGCACGAGAACGAGTATCTTCGGACGCTCTCCAGTACACCGCTGCCTTGGCATTATTGAGCCCACCGGAGATTCTGGGAGTAGCGGTCCCGCACTCACCGTCGATGCCCACGTTAGCACCCGAGAGAGAGCGCGCACCACCCGACAACCAAGCGGACGACGTTGTCGTCGCACGCAAGCTCGTGTCCATCGCGGCAACGTACGTACACTACGACGTGGATGTCGCTTGAGCCATCAATACATACCGGTAGCACTCGCGCCAAGGCCCGCGACCGTATGGTTCCGAGGTCGGCAGTGCACTCGTCGCTGCCGTCGCTACATCGCGCCCCAATCAGCGCCAAGGCTGCGACCGCCGAGCCACCGCAGCGTGTGGTACTGCCTATCCTCGTGCAGAATGGGCCAGTAACATCCAGCGAAGCGGCGGAAGCGCGTTTCGCTGCCCGCGCTGGACGTCCGTCTCGAGCCGATCGCTGCTGCGTACGTTGGCCCTCTTTCGCGGCCGTCGAGGCTCATGGGCTTGTGCGTAGTGCGCCCTGGGACGATGCGCGGGCCGCGGATCTGTTCCAGCAGCTCTGCCAGCTGTAGGCGACCCGAATTTCAAACGACCGAGCCTAATTAGGATGTCCGTTTCGGCCCCTGGCTTACGTAGCGACATAGGTTTGTGAAGGTTGCTCGCATAGAGAGGTCGAATGAAAAGGCTAGAACGAGATTTGTGAATCGGATGCCAGAGGTTTCTTGGGACCCAGTCTTTGCCTTGCCTTCTTTATTTCGCCTTTGAGGCCGACGATAGCCAGCATGAGCAGCGACGCCGTGACGAGCCCAAGCAGCACGGGCGGTACCTCTGGCGCCAGCACCATGAGCGACCTGGACAGACAGATCGAGCAGTTGAAGCGCTGCGAGTACCTCAAGGAGTCGGAGGTCAAGGCGCTGTGCCAGAAGGCCCGTGAGATTCTTGTGGACGAGAGCAACGTCCAGCGCATCGATGCGCCCGTGACGGTGCGCAGCATGGCCTCTCGCAACGGCTAAGAATCGGATCTGCATTAGATCTGCGGTGACATCCACGGCCAATTCTACGACTTGAAGGAGCTGTTCAATGTCGGCGGCGAGTGCCCCGAAACCAACTACCTCTTCATGGGCGACTTTGTCGACCGAGGCTTCTACAGTGTGGAAACCTTCCTTCTCTTGCTCGCCCTGAAGGTATGCCGTGACGTATGATGCGCGATTGCTCAGGATGGTCGTAGGTGCGGTACCCGGACCGTATTACGCTCATCCGCGGCAACCACGAAAGCCGTCAGATCACGCAAGTGTACGGCTTCTACGACGAGTGCCTGCGCAAATACGGCTCCGTGAACGTGTGGCGATACTGCACGGAGATCTTCGACTACCTCAGTTTGTCGGCCATCATCGAAGACAAGATCTTCTGCGTCCACGGCGGTCTCTCGCCGTCGATCAACACGCTGGACCAGGTACAACGCTCGACACGAAACACATGACCTCAACCTCCATAGATCCGTATCATTGACCGGAAGCAAGAAGTGCCGCACGACGGCGCCATGTGCGACCTCATGTGGTCGGACCCGGAAGGTACTCGCATCTCGCGTCCCTGCACCGCGCCTCACCTCGCACCTCTACAGACATTGACGGCTGGGGCCTGAGCCCGCGTGGTGCCGGGTACCTCTTTGGCGGCGACGTGGTCGAAAAGTTCAACCAAACCAACGACATCAGCTCATTTGTCGGGCACATCAGCTCGTCATGGAGGGCCACAAGTCGATGTTCAACAACGCGCTCGTGACCGTCTGGTCGGCGCCCAACTACTGCTACCGATGTGGCAACGTCGCGGCGATCCTCGAGCTCGACGAGAACCTCGAGCAAAAGTTCAAGGTGCGCATTCATATCTACTGTTGGCATGCGCTCATAAGTTTGCTGCAGATTTTCGAGGCCGCGCCCCAGGACGCCCGCGGTGTCCCCTCGAAGAAGCCCGCGCCCGACTATTTCTTGTAAGCTAATGTCCGTACGCCATACGAAGAGCCTACGTCCCCTTGTATCATTTCCGACGCTAACTAAGGTCTTGGAATGCGACTGCTTGAATCGACGAATTGTTGTGTGTCTATGACCCGAGCTTGTGGGCGAACGCAAGGAGCGCGTTGGACGTCGCGCGCAGAAAGCCGACGCCGTCGAGCCACGAGGCGCGGCTGCTTGCATCAAAGAGGACCACCGTGGCCCAGTGCGCGTACAGACCCGCGTCCATGGTCGACAGCATCGCTTCGAACGTCTCGACGTCGTCGGCGCGACCTGGACGCGCTCAATCTAATAAAAGGGCCATGAGATATATCGTCGTGGCGACTCGACTCGACGCACCATTTCGAGCTTGATCTGGCGGAGGATCATGAGCACGCTCCGGACCTCCGAGCACCACTGCGCGACGTCGTCGACGCGGCCAAAGAGCTCGGTCCTGTCAAAGGGGCCCCAGAACCCACCGTCGTTCTCTGTGTACACGTCGTGCCAGCTAGATGGGATCACCAATCCATTCGACAAGACAGCGAGTAGAATGGATACCGTTCAAGCATCATGCCGGCGCTCTCGACGAGCGAGATGGTCGCGTCAAAGTCGTTGCCGCAGAGAAGGTGGTTGATCTCGACCGTCGCGCTCACGCGTGCGCAGAGGGCGAGGGCGATGCGGCCGAGAAGACTGCCCTACGCCCGCACTACGTGCGTCGTGTTATCAAAGAGGAAGGGTACCATCTTGGCGCTGTCCTTGTAGTACTTGCTCGAGGACCACATCATCTTGAGCGTCTTGATGATCGCGGGGACGATCGTGCCAATCTGCTTGACGTCGCTCGTCAAGAGATCCCGGAATGGCTTCTCGAGCACCTACGCAGTACGACGCTCAAGGCCATCATGCGATGACGCGCGATGGACCTTGAAGTACTTGACATTCCACACTGCTTGGTTGTACAATTTCTTGATGCAAGCAGCCTGCTCGTCAATCTTGAACGCATAGTCGGCGTCGTCCAAGACGTCGCAGGCCGCCGGAATCGCCGGGTGCAACAGCTACGCGCCCGCAATTAGGATACGCAGAAGCGAAGCTGCCTACTTGGTCGTAAAGCGGCTTGGCTTGCGAGAAGCAGTGCTGCCAATGCAAGGCTTCTTGAAGCGGAAGGCGCTCGAGGCTCGCGGCCTCGAGGACGTCGCCGAATATGGGTCGGGAGAGACGGACCTCGGCCTGCTCCGTCACGTAAATCCAGCGCAGCAAGCTCGCTTCGGCCTTGCGCTGCGCCTACGCATGTCGTTCAACACAGACATACACCGTAGCGTACGTACGAGCTCTATTGGGTCCTCGGGCGCTGGCAGGAGGTCCATGCCAAGGCGGAACCCATTCGCAAAACCCAGAGATCGCTGGATGTACAGAGTTCGCCAGTCTATTGTCATAGGCGATGCAGCAATGTGCCATCGACGAGCCTACCTTGGACGAGCGCAATGGCCTCCTGCTCGGCGCACAGGAGGGCGTACTCGGGACGAAACTCGCGGCCAAAGCGCGCTTGGAACGGCGCTTGGGCCGTCAGCGACCGGTGCCAGCGCGTTGAGACTAGCAGCACGCCATGAGCTGGCGCCACGTCACGTCAGTACGCACCGGTCGATGCTCGGACGATGTCGCGAACGTCGCCGAGCCCTGCGGCCCACACGGCCAGCGCAATGTCCATGGTCGTTCCGACGTAGGATAAAGACACCCAACTCCTCTTTTGCAACGGGCATGCAGAGTCGCTCATGCACCCGTGGTGGGCATTGTACAAGGACGCCACATAGCACAACGCTAGCGTTCAAGTGCACGCTGAGGTTGTCCATTACCACCCTCATGGCTGCGCGCCTCTCACGCGGGGATGGTTAAGAGTTGCGTGTGTCTATCCGATCCAAACGGCAACCGTTGCAAAAGCCTGTGAAAACGCATATTATCCCACGGACTATGACCTCTCACATTCGATTGGAGGCGCCAACCAATCCTCGGGCGGCGATAGATTCTTCGGCCGTTTGTGTGGCGGCGCGGCTGGCCACTTGGGATTTTCCGGACGACTCTGGCCGACGGCGGCATGAAGGACGACGTGCGCAGGCTCCTATGCGTGGACCATCTCCCGCTCCTCACGCACCAGCTGGCAGCGCCATCCAGCCGAGCCCACGTGGCGATTCCGGCGGCGACGCGCGAGGACAACACGCTGCCGACGAACGGGCTGCTGCATGGACCGTACCGTAAACACACGCTCGACCAACGAAGCCGTGGCAAGCTCGAGCTGGAAGCATGCTACGTTGGCACGGAGCTCCACACGTCGATGCCCAACAAGGGCGCGCTGGTCGGCAACGTGTACGACGAGATCCCGGACGAGTCGGACGAGCTCGTGTACGATGCGCTCGAGAAGGCGTACAATGCAGCATTCACGATGAGCTCGACAGAGAAGCTCGAGCGCGAGCGCAAGATCCACGTCTGCATGAACGATACCTCGTTCGTGCACGCGAAACCGGCGGCACCGAGCCACGCGACGTCGCCCTTCGACACGATTGACACGTGGCGCGACGCGCTCTTGGAAGGGCGAAAGCGAGCGATCTTTGCCGTCACGAAGCGCCATGCCCTTCGTGACATTGACGCATACAAGGTGCGTGCCAGCTTCTCCTGGTTCGGCTTCCTCATGATGCATATGCAGGCCTCGCTCCAAGCGCAACGCGACGAGTACCATACCTTTCCAATCGAGTTGTTTTGCTCACCCTTCTTCGTAATGTGTAGGACACTACAGAAGCTGCAGACACGCATGTTAACGGGCTCGGCGAAAGACCTTTGGACCTCCGCTGTCGTGGGTGAATCCTCAGCGCTCCAACTTGCAGCATCCGCGCTTCGCGAACGGCGCTTGCATCGGCAACGCACCCTGCGAGACCTTGCCGCATGTTGCCTTGAAGCCCAAGGCAAGCTACGCAGCCGCAGCGCCTACGGAAAACGCGCGAACGGCTCGTTTACGTCGCACGATGACAACGACTCGGCTCTCTCGAGCTCGCCCGACCAGCGGCGAGTAGCCAAAGACAAGCCCGTCATGGTACCGTCGCGTCTCGCTGTCTCGATAACTCACGGTGCATAGGTCTCTCGCCAACGAGACATCCTTGGGGACAACTTGAAGATGACGCATTTTCTCCTGGCCGAAGCCGCCATTTACACCCAATTGCTCCTTGGCCAGCGTCCGATGCAGGGCATGGTACGACCCACACATGTGTGACGCGTCGTCGTCACAAACGCTTCTAGATGGCCAGCGAGCACTTCTCGTCAACGGCCTTGGGCCTCGAGGACATTGCACGCGTCGCCGAGATCACAGCGAGCACTCTCTGGAAGGAGCACTCGCGCCAAATCGGCGAGTTTGACGCCGAGTGGGAACGCTGGCGCCAGCGCGTTTTGGAGCCAGATCACCTCGATTGGATGCTTGTCGATCCTGCTGCGTCGCCAACGACCGTCGTCTCGGTGCCCAACCCGTTTCAGGATGCTTCCAAATGGGCATGGCTTGACGCGCCTTCGTCACCAGCGCTGGCACCCAGCGACGATGACGCGTCCAAGAGCGTTCAAGACATGAAGACGCTGTACGCGCATGGTGTCAACGGCATGGTCGTGTCTGCGTCGCCTCCGATGCGCGAGGTGCAAACAGCTTTTTTCTGCGGACGGCCAGTGCTCATCGAACGTGCTGTAGATTCTGACACTGCTGACGCAACTCGGTCAGCGCCAAAACAAGTGGGGGCCGCACTTGATTGTGACGAGCTGCGAGGCGCTGGCGCTGTGGGAGTCGACGATCGAGGCCGACGAGTTTACCGACCTGCGCCTACTCCCCTACTGGGGCGGCGACGACGACCGCGCGACGCTCCGGAGTTTCTGGGCCGACGACCGGATACGGGCCAAGACGGGTCCCTTCCACGTCGTGCTGACTACGTACCGGGTACTTGCGGCGGACATGGCCCATTGGCACAAGCTGCAGTGGCAGCTCGTCGTGTACGATCGGCCAGCTACGCTGCTGCCAGAGCTGCTGCACGTTCGCTGCCGCCAGCGCTGGCTACTTGCCGTGCCGGATCTGTGCGTCGATGTGCGTCTACTCTTGCATTTTGTGCTCCCAGAGCTCTTTGACTCGAAGCAAAAGACTCTGGTACGTCGTCGTTGCTGCGATGCGATCTGTGTTAAGACAGACGTGTAGGCGTGGGGCACGAGCGGATTCGATGCCAGCGCCATTGACCAACTCGTGCGTGTGCTCCGGCAGGTCGTCGTAGCTGTTGGTTGCGACGAAGCGCCAGCGCTGGCCGATGTGGTGCGCTGCACGACTGCAGCCTGCGACGTGGAGCGCGCGGCGCTCATCCAGATGGACGCGACGCCAGTGACCGAGTACGTGCTCTCGACGCCGCTGCTTCGCACGGAACGCCGGCACTTGGCCCGGTTCAAGAAACAACGCAAAGTGCATCGGTTCGCCCTCGAAGCCAAGAAACGCCTCTTGAAGCGGTCCCACTTGCCGGCGGCGTCAGCCTTTGAGACGCCGGTGCCAGTCACGACATCGGCGCCGCCACCGTCGACCAAGTCGTCGTCGGCACATTCGGACGCCAAACTGGTACGCGCTTGGAATCGATAGATCGATCGATGTGACAGAAACATAGATTGCGTGCAAGCACTGCGCCAAGACCTTTATGACGAGCAGCGGGCTCCTCAAGCACACCAAGTCCGACCACGCGCCACCAGGCACGTGGACGTGCCGCAAGTGCGGCGTCGACTGCGGCACCATGGCGCTGCGCAACGCCCACGAACGGCAAGAGCACGACGAGACGATTGGACCGTCGAACAAGCCGTCGCAGCCGCTCCCGCCCGCAGCACCGGCGACTCCTCCGGCGTCGGCACCGGTACGCCGCTCTCCTTGCACGCTGCACCTCTTACACACACGTGGTGATAGAGCACGGGTCCGAAGAAGCGCAACCGGTCGTCGGGCTCCCGAGCCAAGAAGCGGGTCACGCGCTGTGGCAAATGCCCCGGCTGCCTCGCGGGCGACTGCATGGAGTGTGGGCACTGCCAGGACATGAAAAAGTACGGCGGTCCTGGCTTGCGGAAACAGTCGTGCAAGAACCGCAAGTGCACCAACCCGCAAGTGATGACAGGGTCGTCCTCGTCGACGGCGGCGTCGGCCGCGACCGCCATTTTGGACGACGAAGATGAGACGCTCGCCATCAAGGCCGACGACGACGGACACTTCTCCGAGTCGCAGGCATCCTCGGACAGCGACCAGAGCAAGATGGACGACGACATGGACGACTCGATGGACGACTCGATGGAGGAAGGCGACTTGGACGATGCACCGTTGAGCAAGACGGCGGCGAAATCGTTCAAGTCCAAGCGCCGCAGCAAGCTCGCCAGCCTCAACAACCGCAGCCGTGTCATGCGTTGCGGCGTCTGCGTCGGCTGCCTCTCGCCCGACTGTATGAAGTGCCGGCACTGCCAAGACATGAAAAAATACGGCGGTCCCGGCCTGCGCAAGCAGTCGTGCAAGAGCCGCAAGTGTGTGACGCCAAAAGTCGTCGTGCTCAACCAGGGCATGGACGAAGACGGCGAGCTCTTGTACCTCGGCGACGACGCATGGCCACCTGCCAAGTCGTCGTCGTCGGTCGCTGTGACGCCGCAGTGGGCGCGCGAGACGATCCTCGACCTCGGCAGCGGCCTCGGCGTTGCGTATTTGCTCCAGCGCCAGCTCGATCGGTTCCTCAAGGTGCCGTGCATGACGTGCGAGGCGCGGTTCGCGACGCCGGCGCTCAAGCAGCTGCACCACCAAGTGGTGCACGCCAAGAAGACGGCAAGTGTTCCACGCTGGCAACGCGAGCTCGCACTTGCTGCATTGGCGCCATCGCTCCAGTACGCGCTCGTGGCCAGTGAAGCCAAGCGAACAAAACCGATGGACTTTGAGCCGCCGGCTACGCCAAGCTGGTGGTACGCTCGCCAACAAACTGCGGTTGACTTGCAACTCACGACCTTGTCTCTAGGGCCCCGGCTTGTGCTACTACATGCTGCAGACCGACATCACGCTCGGCAGACTCTCGTCCAAGTGGCGCGATCGGTACCAGTCTCTCGGCATCAACTTTACGCGCGGCCTCGCCGGCGGCGCGATCGACTGCCACCTCGGCGATGACCTCATGATCTCGGCCAAGCACGCGCGCATCACGTGGGACGTCCAGCGCCAGCAGTTTACGATTCGGTGCCTCAGCTTCCTCACGAGCATCTCGGTCAACGGCCGCGACCTGACGCTGGCGTCGGCGCCGCTCGGGCTCCGGAGCCGCAACCTCATCCAGATCGGCGCCTACTACTTTTCTTCCTCCTCCCCATGGGCAACCACGCGACCACCTCGAGTCTGCCGCCGGGCCCGCCGATCGAGGCCGCTTCGCGCCAAGTGCTGCCGCGCGCCGAAGTCCTTGCCTGGCTTGACGCCAAGCGCGGCCGCAAGCGTGCGCTCGAGACAGGCGAGAACGCGGTCGTGAAGCGAGCTCGCTACAACTAGGAACGCAGCTCGATGATAATATACGATGTGATGTCGGGGTTGGATAAGAATGCTCTACGTGGTGGCCGGGTGCAAGCGAGATTGGCTCGGAGCGCGCAGCACCTTGCGTCGACGACGGTAGCAGACCAAGCCGGCGGCGACGACGCCCGAGACACCACCGAGCAGCAAGGCGGCGCGGAAGCTGTGCACGAAGCGGTAGGCAAGCACGAGGGCAACGAACGCGGCACACCGGCCGGCCCACTCGTCGTTCGTGCGCAGCTGGCTTCGGAGCTCGGCGTAGACGTGCCTGGCCATGGCCTTGAAGAGCGCTTGCCACTCCAAGCCTGCGAGAAGCTCTGCCATGATGCGAGTTGCCGCGGAGAAAGGACGTGGAACGTGGCCGAGGAGTCGGTCCCGTTATTTAACAGTCCCACGGTCTGTTATATAAAACATTTTGCTTTTTAAGCCACGGCAAGCTGCCGCCATCGCGCGAGCGCATCGTGGTGCCAGCGCGATGTCGCCGCCTTCCTCGAGGCGCTAGTATGTCCAGGCCCAGGTCCAGGTTGTGGGGGCGACGTCAGTGTTGATGTCATCGCCTCGCTCAGCGACGCAGGCTACGGATGGTCTCACGAGGACGAGGCTTGGTTCGCCTATCACCCATGTCCCAATCTTCAATGCCACCAACAAGACCTTGACCCCATGCCTTGACCCAGCGTCAATGATGGCCTTGCTCTGCGGGGTGGTCTTGGTCGATGCTGTCTCGATGCTGCAGTCGTTGTCTGTAGAGGCGGACGCTGGGTTCCGTGGTCAGATCTTTGCTGACAAGCAGTCATTGACTTGCTGCTATACAAACACGACGGCTAAGGCAAGTCAGCAATCAACTGGTCAGTATATTTTGGGCCGGTATCTATCTTGCGCATGGAGGACCGCGCGTCGTCGATCGAGGACAAGGAGATGCGTCCGACGGGCAACGCGCTCGACGTCATCCTCGTGCAGACGCTGGATGACGCCGACGCCTTCATCTCGACCGAGTGGCACGTCATGTTTGGCTGGTCGACGTGGAAGTCGAACGTCCGCGCGGGCGTCGGCGATGCCATTGACGTCTACGTCAACGAGACGCGGCTCAACGTGTCGATGAAGCTGCTCGAGTACGGCCGGTGCACCTTCAACAACATTGAGAACGAGTACCTTCCTCCCGTCGGCGTCGACTGGGCCGCGTGCAAGCTCAAGCGGGACGGGTCGCCCAACCGCGTCCGCTTCGAGCACGTTCGCGCATCCCGCACGTACACGCGCGTCATCGAGTGCGATCTGTACGTCATCACATCAAGGCTACAAGGAGGAGGCTGATTCGATTACCATTTGTGTAGGTACGTCTGGCAACCCGACGACTTTGCGATCATCGCCGACCTCGACGGGACGATCACGATCAGCGATGTCGAAGGCCACATCCGCACGCTGCGCTTGGGGCAGTACGACTACATGCACGTGGGCGTGTGCGCGTTCTTGACCAAGCTGCACACCATTGGCGCGCGGATTCTGTACCTCACGGCGCGACCGCTCAACTGGGCGGGCGGGTCCCGCGTGCACCTCAAGGAGGCGCGGCAAGACGAGATAGGACTGCCACCAGGGCCCGTCATCACCAACTCGATGGGGCTCACCGGCGCGCTCTTCACCGAGGTCGTCAACAAGAACCCGCACGTGTTCAAGGCCGGCGTCCTGCTTGGCATCAAGGATGCCATGGTGCGCGCCGGCCGCCGCAATGACCACCCCGTCTTTGTCGCGGGGTTCGGCAATCGCCCGACGGACACGGTGGCGTACACGGACGCGGGCGTGCCACGCAACACGTCGTTCCTGATCGACCCCGAGTCCAAGCTGCAGGCCGAGGGCTCCGAGGCGTACGCATCGTATACCGACCCGAAAGCGCTGCTTTGGCTCCTCCCCCGGATCAAGTACAAGGTGCCGATCGAGCACGTGCGCCGCATCGACGAGCTCACGGCGAGCGAACTCGACCGCGACGAAGAGATGGAGATGCTGCGCTACATCCAGCGCGAGCGACAGAGCTTGTTGCAAGAGGCCGCCGCCGCCGAGCAGGCCCACGCGTCGGCCTTTCCCTCTATGTAGGCGACGCACGAAGCTCTGACAACCATCTTGTACATATCGGGCGGCAGTGCTCTAAAAAGACACAACTTTTCGCTACAAAAGACGCAATGCAATCGATTTTAATGCTATAAGGTTGCGTGATCGTAGAGTCCAATCGAACTTATGCCCTGGATCGAGGCGTGGGGCACAGCGACGCTATCTATCGCGCTGTATCGGCGCCGATCGCAGGACGATGCGCTCTGCGCCGCCGACTTTGTCTACCCAGGTACGTCCACATGTATGCGAGAGCTTGACCGACAGCGCCATAGACGAGCACATCGTGCTGGCGCTGCGCGTCGAGCCGACGACGGACGATTGCCCGCTGCTGTCGCTGGACCAATGGCACACACACAAAGCCAGCGTCGTGTCAACCTTGAGCATCGTCGACTCTGCTTCGCAGGCGACGCTCTATGAGACAATGTGTGACTTTGCGCCATCGCCCGACTCGGATGCGCTCGTGCTCCACGCGCCGGTGGCCTTGCACGCGCCATGGACCGCGGCGGCGAGCCTGCGCCTCAGCATCCAGCTGCACCAAAGCATCGGGCACTTTCGCCGCATCGAGACGCAGCGCGTCAAGAAACTCGAGTCACTGCTCGTCGGCGGCGCGCTGCCGCAATACATGTTTTGGCCCGAGACGCTGCCATCGTCGCACTTGTCGCGGCAGGTGACGACAGCTATCGCCCTCGGACGCAGCGTCGGCTTCTCGCACGCAATCCACGCCGTCGGTGCCAAGCACTGCGTCGTCTTGCGCTTCGAGCATTCCGCGAGTGCGCCTTGCGACCTCGTACTCCACGACGTGCGCCTTCACGCGGATACGAGCGCATACATCATGGACGAAAACGATGTGCACGCGTTCCCCGTCGTCTTGCACCCGGGCGAGCACTGGCACGCCGTCGTCCACCTTGGCTTCCGGCTCGAGGCAAGTGCGTCGCAGCCTACGACTGGCGCGCGGGTCACGTACACGTGGTCGACCTTTGACGAGATGGCACCTCTGACCCAATCGGCTGGTATTGAGCTGCCTTCTCTGCCAGAGCCGCCGGCGCTGGCGCTGCGCCAGCAATGGCTGGGTGTCGAGGTGGGTGCGCGTTTGGTTGCCGCCCCCATGCGCGCGGGGCAGGCATCGCAGGTCGCCCTGTACGTCACCAACCAATCCGCCGCCGAGATGGAGCTCAGTCTCCTCGTGCTGTCGCCGGCGTACGCAGCCCTCGACGCGGCACCGCTGCACGGTGACGCCAAGTACCTTGCGTTGGCGTCGCAGGCATGCAGCGCGCCGCCCGCGTGGGCCTCATCGAACGCTACGCTACGCATCGGGTACTTCTTTCATTTCGAGGTTGCTCTCGCATATATCATGGCAACGTGCTAGAATGCTTGCGCCAGGCGCGACGACCAAGACGACGCTGGACGCGATGGTTGCTGACGCTGGTGCCGTCACCGTTGACAACCTCGTGCTCATCGACCACGCAACGCAGACGCTGTACCGTCCGTGGACCCCGTGGACGCTCGTTGCGAGCTAAGAAAACCAATACTTCGGATGTATATGCATTGCGATCTTAGTCGCTGACCGCTGGCACACGGCTAGGGCGCCGCACGGGGCTTCGTTCAAACGATGGGCGGAAGAGGGCGAGCGACGTGTACCCTGGCTTTGTCTCGGGGCGGGTGCCGACAAATTTCGTGAAGGCTGTGTGCGCTTGGATCTCGGCGCTGTCGTTGAGGACTTGGAGAAACACTTGGAGGAAGAACTGGCGGTGGGCGAGCGCACTCGCAGAGTCCCAGAGGAGCCAAAGACTCATGAACGGCCCGGCCACGGGGAGGCTCGGGACGCGAAAGCCCGCAAGCCGCAAGGTGCTGTGCAGCGCAACGAATTCGCGGAAGCGCTTGCAGATCGTATATGGCTGGCCAGACGCGTCGTCGACGTCGATGTGGAATTGCATGAAGGCGTGGAAGGTTGCTCGGCTCTTATTGGGGCTCTGGCTCGTGATCACAAGGCGGTGCATGGCCGACTGCTTCTTCAAGTTGGAGTGGCGTGTAATCGACGCCTTTCCACCGCAGAACACGCGATACACTCAAAAGTACAGTCGCGCGTTGCTCTCCTTTACAGCGTCTTTGGCGTCTCGCAGACCTCGCACGCGACGAGAAACCCGGAATTCTCAAACGTACACGCGGCGCAGGCCCACGGTCGCGCCTCGCGCTCCGACGTCGCGGGGTACTCGATGAAGTCGTGCAGTTGCAGCTTTGGAGGCGACGGAGCCTGGATGAAGTCTTGCAGGTGGAGCCGGGACGTTGGCCGCGCAGCGTCAGGCTCGGGCGCGGGCTCGGGTGCCTCGCCGTGGACAATCAACTGCACGCGCCCGACGATGCCGTCCGTGAGGCGGACCTTGATGCCCCGCGGGTGCAGCGCCGAGTTGGTCAAGGTCGTCGCCACCGTGCCGTACGTGAGCTTGCCCGTCGGCTGGTCTTGCTTCTGCACGACGGCGACGCGCATGCCTGGGCGGATGTTGCCGTTGACCGTGTGTCCGTGGCGGTGCCCCGCATCATTGGGCGGCGGTCGCTGGCGACGTTGGCGGTTCATTGCTGAGCAACTACGGTTGTGTGCGCCATTATCCGGCGCATGGCACCCAAGATGGACGCCCGATCGACTGACTCACTCGCATGTGTATGCGAACAGAGATCCAGCGCTCGCCATTACGGACGAGTTGGCGCCATAATGCCACGATACAAGAAAAAGGCGAGCGGAAATGACGTGGAGCTGGCAAATGGGTTCCGTGACATCGGCGCCGACTGACCTTTCGCCGACGAGCGGTTGCAAGCAGAGTCGACGTCGACGCAGCGTGCGTGTCCAATCTATATCTCGCCTCGCCCTTGTGGCATGGCATGTTGGAAAGAACAGAATGCTCTTCCATTGACGCGATTGCACTCCAGCGCTGCAGCAACGACGACGCCCTCGTGGGCTCCGAGCGAGGAACCTCCACAAGATGGCCCAGTATTCGCAAGGTGAAAGATGCAATTGGTCGCCGCCGCCACTCAAGATCGCCATGCGGCCAATCAGCGGCGACAACCGTGATAGGTCGTAATTCCGTTCGGCTGCACCGTGGTGACGTCGCCATCTCGCCGGCACATTGCCCGAGACGCGAACATTCCTTGCCGAGCTTTCGAACGCGCAAGTAACATCTCGTCGGCCGTGGCCACTGGAGCGCATACTATACACAGATCGGTCATGGACGCCGAGAGCTGGGCGCGCGACAGCGACGCCGACGGCGATCGCGAGAGCTGGTTGTATCGGTCGACGCCAACAGCATTGCGCGCATCTGCGCCGAGGACCTCGACGACGACGGCGACGATGCGGCGACCACCGAGTCGCCACTGGGTACCCCACGGCGCCTTTCCAAGCCGCTACGTCCAAGCTGCAAACAATGAAGGGATGCGCGAGCGACCGCATGGACTTTATGGACGCATCGAGGCGCGGCAGCTACGGCGAGTCCAAGCCCATGTGGAAACCGCTGGTGCCATGGAGCGAAGACGTCAAGCTCGAGAAGGACGGCGCGTGGATCGATTGCACGTCGCCCAATCATGACGAGTGCAGACCCATGGTCCTTCTAAAGCCGTTCGCTGTCCTGAGTGTCATCGTGACCAACATCAGCGTCGTGGCCGTCGCGACGTTTGGCTGGACCGATCGTCTGCGCACCGCGCTCGGCCTCCAAGACCTTCCGCGCTGCAGCTTGGTGCTGGTCATTTCGATGCTGCTCAGCGTCGCATGCGGCGGCGGCGGTCTTCTTGGGGACTATGCGCGACACCGCGGGCTCGTGCTGCGACGGGCGTCAGGCCTCTGGGTCGTCGCGTCGTTGCTGCTACTCTTTGGATGCGTGCTGGACACGGCCTTTCTGTACGGCCTCGGGCTTGCGCTCGCCTACGTGGCGGCCGGTGCCATCTTGCCCAACGTCATCGTGGCGGGAACGGCGCTGGAGCACACACACGACGTCAGCGACGACCAGAAGCGACTCGAGATCGTACGTTCTCCTCGCCAGAAACACATGAGATGAACCAGTCTGATGTAGACCACGTTTTATGGCTGGACCACCGCCGCGTCGATCGGCAGCCTCGCAGCTACACAAGCCTTCTGTCTTGCGACAACGTCGCGGACCCAAGTGCTTGCGCTCTTTGCGCTTTGCCTCTTGCTGCTCGCGACGCTGTCGTGGTTACATGTCCATATGCGCTGCCGGCGCTGGCCGCCTCAAGTGACGCCCGCCTCCGTTTTTGCCACCGGGTGGCACATCCTGCGCGGGCACTGGCTCCTCCTCGGCACGAGCGGCGGCGCGCTGCTCATGCTTCTCGGCGCGATAGCCGTTGTCGCGAGCGTCGCGGTGCCACATCGTGCGGGCGCCGCCCTCGACACGCGGTTCGTGTTGGCGGCAGCTGGTGTCGCAAGCATCTTCCTCGGTTGGATCACGACGCTCGTCCTTGGTGTCGCCTCGTTCAACTTGCACTACTCGGTTCACGTCCATCGGCGACGTCATGGCTCGGACAACCATGACGATGAGGAGGAGGAGGACGACGAGGACGGGCCGATTGCATCCGAACACATGCCGGTCCTGCGCGGCTTGAGCCTCTTTCCCATTGGGTGCATGGGCGTCTTTGCGGCTGCACTGCGCGGACAGCTCTACTCACTCTTACTCTTGCAGCAGTGCCAGACAAGTCGAACGGCGTTTGGCAGCGTACACGTGAGCCCCGACTACGTGGCGGTCGGCGTCGGCGTCGTTGCGCTCGTGTCGAGTCCGCTCCTCCTGCGCCTCCTCACGGTGGAGCTCAAGGCCTTTGGGCGCAGTACGCGGCTTCTTCACGCGCTTTTGTTCTACCTCGTTGGCACCTTTCTCGCTGGCATCGTGGAGCTCTACCGCCGCAGCAGCCCGCACGACGTCGGTCCGTTGCTGCTCCCAGACACAACGTGCCACAAGAAGACGACGACGGGTATGGACTCAGCGTATGCGATCGCGTATCTCGTGCCGCTGGGGCTGGCGGAGATGCTCTTCCGAACGTGCGTCGGTGAGATCGGCGCGTTCGTCTTGCCACCTCGCCAGATGGGGCTGGCGGCCAGCGTGCTCGCGGTCTGCGATGCGATCGGGAGCGCGGCCGCCATTGGCATCGGCGTCATCACGGTGCGCTGGTATCGGACGCCGGCGCCGACGGACCTTGTGCTCGTGCTCCTCGCCTCGACGACGCTCGCGTGCATGGCGTACGCGTCCATGAAGCGCCTCGTGGCCCATTACCAGGCCGCTCAGATCTGGTTGTAGCACTCTCCTAGTCGTGTAGTCTGTAGCGTAGCCGTATATTATCTATCAACTTGAATCGCTTATGATGTGAGCACGCGCTGAATCGGAATGATAGAGTGGTCAGCGTCCTTGTTGAAGTTGCCGGCGCGCCATTTTTACCCCCAGCGCTGGATGGTTCTCAGTCCTCGCGCCCTCAAGCCGACAAGCCGCAGCTCGTTTTGGCTACCATCCTTTAGTTCTTTAGTCGACTGGTTCAGTAGGCGAGGTTGGCTGGCGAGGTTGGTCGAACGACGGCGCGTCTCTGCGTCAGTCGAGGTGGGTTGTCTCCGGCGTGCACTCCACCTCCGTGGAATCTCGGCCTGTGATTGGTGCGCTTTTCCACCAATCCTCGGAGACGGGCCAGATCAATATTTTAATGCTCTGCATACAATTCCCAAGTTCTTTTAAACGCCCAGATGTGGATATGGGTTCAACCGCCACGATAGGTTAGAAATAAGCGTATTTATACCCAATGGCATCGCGTCGCACAGCATCTTGGGCCGAGAAATAGAATCCGAGGCCATATGGTGGCAAAGATAATAAAATAAAAATGATGCAATTGCAGCAGCGCCTGCCCCAACAAGAAAGTTTCCGCCTTGATCGACGAGCATGACGTGGTCGTGGGTCGGCCTTGACGGGAAGAACGTGGCAGCGGTCGTGAGCCACACGCGCATCGACCTCCTCGACACGCAGGACTTCTCGCTCCTCGGGCGCATCGTGCCAGGCCCCAATGCTGCCAACCAGCCCTTCCATGACACGCCCATCTTGCTCACGCAGTGGAACGCGCGCCGGGCGTCGCTCGTCTCGCTCTCATCGACGGTCCTCATGATCCACTGCCCCGACCCAGTGGCCAAGTACGCCAAGTACCGCGTCAGCTACGCGCATGCGTGGAGCATGCGCTTCGAGGCCGGCGAGGTCACGCACCTCGCGCTCTCTCGCTGCTCGTACTCGATGCTCATGGGCGGCCCGCGGGGCATCTCGCTCTGGGAGTGCTCGCCGAACGACGAGTCGGTCAAGTACTCGTGCGTATGGCGCAAGCAGACGCCGTGCGACCAGCTCGCGTTCTCGCCGTCTCGATGTGTCTTTGCCACTGCCCAAACCGGCGCGACCGAGGTGTACGTGTGGCGGCAAGAGCAGCACGACGACGGCTCCAACATTGACAAGCAAGTGCTGTGCCACGACGAAGGTGTCGTGTACATTTCGTGGAAGCCGGCGACGCACAACGACGCGACGACGAGCGACGACAGCAACGGCCAAGTGCCCTCCAAGTGGTTCCAGCCCGAGCGCATGCTCTTAACGATGACGGCCGAGAAGACGATCCGCATCTGGACCGAGAAGGCCAGCGGCTGCGGCACGCCACTCATGCAGTGCGTCGTCTTCATCCAGCCGCAAGCGAACCTTGACATTGCGATGACGCGCTGGGTGCTTCCGCGCACGCGCAACATCAGCGAGGAGCTCTTTACATCGAGCAAGGACGATAGCAATAAGCAGAAGAAGACGCGCGAGTGGCTCAGCGTCATCGACACCAGCGGCGTGCTGCACGTGTGGCAGCTCACAGGCCTCGACGCCAAGCCGCGGCTCAAGAAGACGGACTTCACGTTCAAAGTCGACGGCAACGAAGACGACGGCACGCGCTCGGTCATCAAGCAGGTCCAAGTGATTGGGTACTTTTCACAGACAGGCGCGGGGGACCCGTCGGCGCTCTCGATTTTGCTCGAGCGCACCGACCACGTGCTCTTGTCGTACCGTATCGACTGCAGTTCGCTCAAGTATCCGATCCTCAAGGACAAGAGCTGGCACCGCGGGCATACCGAGCCCATCACGGCGCTCGCCACGCACCCGTCGCTGCCTCTAGTCGCGACCACGAGTGCGCGGGAGATCATGGTGTTTTGGCTCTCGCTCTCGACGTTTACGAACGTCTCGAAGCTCGTGCCGTCGTGCATCATGACGTGCGACGAGCAGATCGCGTCGATCCAGTGGATTCCCACAAAGCACTTTGACGCTGTGCCACTGCTGCTCGTCACGATGGCGTCCGGCGTCTTCCAGGTCTACAGCACGACCGGCGCCGACCAAGGCAAGATGCTCTCGTCGCCCAAGCCAGGTCTAAGCAACCGTCTCCGCCTTCCAAGCATGCACTACCCCTGGACGTACTACTCGCACGAGCTGGGCGAGTCGGGCTTCGAGTACGAGGTCGGCTTAAAGCCAGACCCGCACTTTGGCTTGGGCCTGACGTTCGACACGCTCGGCGAGAAGCTCGTTGTGACGGCGTTTGTGCACGGCGACGAGGACCATAATCACCGCCTGCCCGGCCAAGCGAGCGGCCAGATTGACATGCTCGACCAGTGCATTGCTGTCAACGGCGTCAGCGTCAAGGGCTTCTCGCTCGAGCCGTTCCGCAACCTCGTCTATGACACGATCGCGTCGACGGAAGGACCCGTGACCTTGCGCTTCCGCTCGAGCGGTGGCAACTTTAATGACGTGGCGCGGCGTGCGCTCGAGCTTGACGACGCGACGCCCGTCGTCGACACGGGCGATGACGACGATGACGACGACGATGACGAGGTCGATGACGGCGACGACGTGTCACACGAAGACCATTCGCAGCAAGGCCGGCGGCTCCTCGCGCGCGTCCAGAGCAAGACGCTTCTCGGCGTCGACAGCGTCGGCTCCGTGAGCTTGTACGGCGGGTGGCGCGTCATCGGGTCCGAGGCCACCGGTTGTGTGTACGAGCACGTGTCGGTGGCGCCCGTCTACTCGGACGCTGGCGCGTACACGTCGGACGTTGTGCTCATTTTCGCGATCGAAGCCGCTTCCCAGGAGCTCCACGCGTTCCTCGGCACGTACCTTCCGTCGACGCACGCGACGTTTTACCTCCACAAGCTCGAAATGGTGTCGAACGTCCGCAGTACGATGGGCCACATCACCGTGCTTGGCACAGAGCGCGACTACCGCCAGCGCGCTTTCTCGTCCATTGTCAAGGCGGCGCCGAGCGACGTGACGTGGAACGCGCTCCTCTTTGTGGGCGACGCATCCGGTGCGATCCAGCACTGGCGCTGCCGTGTCACGCACCAGACCATCGACTTTTCGCTCATCCACGCGTGCGAGCCGCTTTCGACGCCGATACCGTCGTCGTCGTCGTCGTCGTCGTCATCGTCGTCGTCGGTGACGCCGCATCATTTCTATCGGCGCGGCCAAGCCATGCCGTCGGAAGCCGTGACCACCGGCGTGTACCACATTGAAATGGACGACCCGAACCGTCTCGCGGTGCTCTACGCGGACCGCCCGAACGATGTGTTTGTGTGGGAAGGCGAGTCGGGGCTTGGGATTCTGCGCCTCGAAGCGTGCATCTCGTCGCAAAGCAACTGGGGCCCCGTCACGTCGTTCAGCTGGTGCTCTGGCCACGTCGAGTTTCACATTGACCCGCTCGCGATCCAGTACGCTGGCGGCGTCGTCATCTACACGTACGACGCGCAGCACCAGACGTGGCTCCCGCTCTCCAAGCCGATCGTGACGGGCCTGACCATGTTTGACTGCACGCGCGATGCCTCCGCGCTCATCTTGGCCTGCGGCGTCTCGGACGGACCGCTGTATGCGCGCGCGGCGCTCAACGACACGCCGACGATCGTCGGCAAGTGGGACGAGCCAGGTCGGCTCCGGAAGCGCGACTGGGTGCAGTACTGGAATCGCACGACGAAACCAAAGCACTGTCCCGTGTGGCACCCGTACGTGCTGCTCACGACGCTCTGCGGCCTTCCAGCGCGCGTCGGTCTCGTGCACACGGCGCTCGCCGACTACCGTCCAGCGTTCGACTTTCACCACGCGTTCAACGAGACCGTCCAGCTGCTCAAGCTGCTGGCGCGTGTGCTCGAAGACGACATGTCGACCGACATGAGCGCGCAAACCGGCGTTCTCATCGTGCTGCAAGAGACGCCGACGGCGCCGGCGTCGCTCCTCGGTCGCTACGCCAACGCTAAGGGCAACCAGCCACGCAGCAACCGCGCGATGGACCTCTTTGCGCCGTCGCCGCCGACGCGCGTGGCGCCGCCAGCTCCGATGGACGACAGCGTCCTCAACAACCGCGATATCGGGACGCTAACGACTGCGATCGATGCGGTGCTGCGACGCTTGACGCAGAAAGTCCAGGTGCGCTACGAAGAGCAGGAGCACCGGAACGCGTACGTGCTCTTCGAGTCGTTTGAGATTGAGCACGGGCTCCAGTTCAAGGCCGTGCTCTCGTTTCTGCAAAAAATGCAGCACCTCTCGCTGAACGGGTATGATGTACCGGCGCAGCGCTACGTGCTCGGCCACGTCCTCTCGACGAGCCTCCAAGACGTGCTGCATGACGCCGACGACCTGGCCGGCGTCTTTGCGATGCCCGTCGTTCCGATCGACGAGACGGGCGTCGCGGTCGCCGGCGGACCGCCACAGACGGTCGAGGGCTTCCTACACGACGTGCCGGCGTCGAGCGTGTCGTGGGCGCTCCAGTCCGAGTCGCAAAACGTGCTCATCGAGCAGTGTCTGCACCCGCAAGCGCTCTGGGACGACCTCAAGCCCATGTGGCTCGGCCTCTGGGTGCGCGACCCGGCCAAGCTGCGCGAGATTGTCGAGCGGTGCGTCTTGTAAAGTTTCAATGTTTCAAGTATGGGACGCTAGGATGGCCAAGTGCACGTTTATGCGCACGCGTGACGCGATGAGCGTCTGTCTTCTCTACTTGGCGCTCGGCAAGAAGAACGTGCTGAGCGCGCTCGCCAAGGTATCGCGCGTCGAGTCCAACAAGGTACACGCTTCCTTCCGACATTAATGGATGGATATTGACACCTTGATATACTAGACGCTGGCCGATTACGATTTCTCCGAGGAGCGCTGGAGCTCGGCGGCGGTCCGGAATGCCTACTCGCTGCTTCGGAAGAAGCAGTACGACCTCGCTGCCGCCTTTTTCCTCTTGCCGCAGCCGCCGCGGCTCCAGGAAGCGCTGCGTATCTGCATTGGCCGGCTCAACGACCCGAGCCTCGCCATGATCATTGCGCGCCTCGTCGAGAGCACGAGCGTCTCGTCGACGTTTGAGGCCTCGGACATTTACAACGTCGGGCCGCTCACGACCGAAGTGCTCAAGACGAGTCTCGTGCCGCTCTTCCGGGAGCAAGAGAACCGGTGGCTCGAAAGCACAGCGCTCTGGTGGCTCGGCGAGTACGAACAAGCCTCAGCTGTACTGACGCCGAGCGGCCAGCCCATCGACGTCGTCGACCTCGGTGCGCTGCATCGCATGCTCGCAGATGCCAAGCCCAACGAGGCGCAGGCACCGCACATGAGTATCGCGCTCCGCACCAAGATGAGTCTGGACTTTTTCATCAATTTGACGTCGCTCTCGCTGCACTACCAGTACCTCTACTGCGAAGTGAAGCGGCCGCTCGTGCATTTCGCCTACTCGTCGATCCTCGAGTCGGCGCCGCACAAGAAGGAAGAAGATGTGCTCACGACCTCGACCGACGTCGACCACGCGTACTCGTTTGGCGCGTACGTGTGCAAGCACGTGGGCCTGAACGACACGGCGCTGCTGCAGATGCTCCAGGCGCGGCATCTGCTCAACATCCATGTCAAGAAGAACTTTATGCACATCATTGACGCGCAGCACCAAGCGCCATCGCACCTCTCGTCGCCGCGCAGCGAGATGGACGTGTACCGGCGCCAGCACAACTGGTTTCTCGAGCCCAAGACATCGTCGTCGTCGTCGTCGAACGCGCTCTTTGGGTCGCCGCGTAGTGCCAACGTGACGCGCCGCGCAGCAGCTTTTCGCTCGCACAGCATCTCACGCTTGAGACGGACCGCACGAGCTTGACGGAAGAGGATTGGCAGGATCTGCTGCACGGCGCCACGTCACCGTCGTCGACGGACGATGTGCCGAGTCTCTGGCCCAAGCACGAGATTGCCGACATTGAGTGCCGGCGCTGGTCGTCCTCCGCGTTCGTGGGCAAGATGATTGGTCTCCGCGTCGCGCGCGAGATGATCTCGCACTTTCGGCTCTCGGTGAAGCGGCACATCCACCCGCTCTCAACGCGCGTCCGCATCGACCACGTGAGCTACCTCAACGACCTTTGCGCGCCGCTCTGCGCCCAGTTCCGCGTCGACCGCCAGTACATCCTCGAGGCGACGCTCGGCGTCTTGCAGCCGCACGCGCAGATGCACATGGTCGAGTGCTGCTTCCTCTTGTCCGAGCTTTCGCGCGACGCGGTCATGCACGAGTGGGTCAACTTTGTGAGCCTCAACATGCTGCACTCGTCCGCGAGCTTTACGACGTGCCAGATCTCGGCCGAGGTCTTCCGCGACTGGGAACACCTCACGATCCAGCTGTGCTACCTCCAGCACCTCTTCGAGGAAGGCACGCTCGAGCTACCAAAGACGTTGCGAGCGGTCCTCGGCCTTGCGATTCGGCTCGGGAGCTTGCTCCTCGTGTGGTGCACCAACCAGCCGCAGCTGCTTCTCGACGTCACGTCCCAGTGTACGTTCGTGTCTTGCACGAAGGGTGGACACTATTGTCGTTGTTGTAGACGAACAGACGTTTGCGGCCAACTTGGCGATCCTCAAGCAGGTCAACATGAGCGCCGTGACCTTTCTCGATCGGTCGGGTGCGTGCAACATCTCCAACTTTGGCTACTCGTTCTTGGAGCAGTTTGCGGCCGTCCAGCCGTCGACGCACCTCCTCCAAGTGCGCCGGCTGTACACGACGATCCTCATGGTGCAACTCATCCGGACGCTCTTTTGCAACGGCAAGAAGGTGCTGGCGGACGCGTTCGAAGTCGAGTACCCGCTCGACGAGACGACGCAGCACGTCATGATGTACAATGCGCTGTATGCGCCCAAGAAGCTCTGGAAGCACTGGGTCGACGCGCCGCTCACGGGGCTCAAGCGCTGGTACCTCTCGATGGAGGCGCACGTGTTGACCGAGTTTCACGACATTGTCAAAGATGCGAGCTGCTTTTGCGGCCATTTCGGCTTGGACCAACTCGTGCGCCCGGTCGATGTGCCTCCACCCGAGCTCGCGACGCCCGACCTCTCGACTTGGAGCGACGAAATGGTCATGCTGTACATGAACCACCCGAAGCTCGGGGTGAGTATGACCATGCGCCGCTTCCGGCTCGAGCCGCGCGTGTACGTGCCGTGCTTTACACTCAAGGACGCGTTTGCGTGGCTGTCGGCGCACCACCTCTGCGCGACGGTCGAGGAGGCGCAGGCGCTCCTCGGGCGCTGGTGCCTCAACCACAAGCTGCGCTGGCTCGTTCGGCGTCGGTCGCGCCTCGCCGCGCCCGCGGTCGAAGTCCACGTCGCACCCAACATCCACCACACCATGTCGCTCCATGTGCCGCCGCCAGTCGTCGAGAAGACGAGCATTTCGCCGGAAGCGATTCCGGACGAAGCCTTCTTCTTTGTGAACCCGTGGGAAGTCGATGCGCCGGCCAACCTCGCGCGCTACATGCTCGGGATGGACCCCACGTCGCCGCCCAAGAAGCAAGCGACGGCGCCGCCGTCGCGCGTGGATCTGGGCTGGGATACGTTTTTGCCCATGTCGGATCAGATCTGCGAAGAAGCCGCGGGGCTCATGTTCCCCGACAGCCACATGCGCGAGGTGTGGAAGACGCTTTGCGGCGAGGGCTGGTTCGTCACGGCCGTCCAGCACTTTGACGCGGACGGCGGCTACATCAAGACGAGCAGTCGCTGGAAGGAGACCGTGACGCACGCGCGCTGGCTCACGGATGTCTTCAAGCAAGTGCAGCGCAACAAGCTCTTCCGGCATCTGGGTCTCCCGCACCGTCTCGTGGCCGTCCTCACGGTACATGTCTTGATTTCTAGAGCCAAGGAATTCTTATTTAGTGTCGTAGATCAAGCTCGTGGCGGGCACGCATCTGATTCCAAGCGACCTCTTGGGCTACTCGGTATGGCTAACGAAGCGTGCCTCGTATTGTGGACACATTGTCTTCTTGTCCTAGGCGGACCCGTACGTGTTCTTCCAGCTGTCGTACCCGCGGCTCGAGACGCCGCGCCCGACGCCCAACGGGTGGGCCATCAGCACGTACCGCAGCCGGCACGCGGTCTCGACCCTCGAGCCGACGTGGAACACGGCGGATGACGTGTTTGTCTACCGGTTTGCGCTGCCCGTGCACGAAGCCCACGCGCCGGATATGCCGCTATCGTCGCCGTCGCTGGAAGCGCTGCAGCAGCAGGCGTACTCGGGGCCGCCCACCGATCTCTACTGCTCGGTCTACAACAAGTGCAAGGTCCGCAGCCACCCGTTCATGGGCCAGACCAAGGTAGTCTTATGCTGCGAGATGGTTATGCTCACGGATTCTAGGTGAGCTTGCTGGATCTGGCCGAAGACCATCCGCTCGACGTCTGGGCGCCGCTCCAAGACGTGGCCAGCGGCTCGCTCCATCTCTCGATTTCGGTCAAGTACCAGCTCATGTCGTCGACCTCGTACGAAGAAGACTTTGTGGTATGTGTCAACAACCTGTGTGCGATAATGACGCATGGCTCACTATCCTGCACGTCTAGCTACCGCGCAACGTCGAGTGCGATCTCTGCCAGGGCGACGTGGTCATCGACGGCTCCCCCACCGACCACACACCGACCAACAACAACACGCCATAGAGCCGCATTTTGTGCATATGTATATAGATATAAGAAGAGTGTCATGGCTGCGGCTCCATCGTCTCCAGCGCCACGTGCGGCAGCCGCATGGTGCCATAGCAGACTACGCACGCCGAGAGCTCCTGCGAACAGAGTTGGTCACCGTCGGAAAGGAGCGACAACACCTCGGGCGATGACGCAGCTGTCGCGATGCTCGGAAAGAGCACTTCAATGGCCGTGGCTGCGTCGCTGTCCACCTAGTGGTCTGAGACACGAGCACAAGCGTAGCGGTCGTACTAGGAGGCGGGACGTATCGAAATGCACGGACGGCCCAACGTCGTCCGAGGCGATCGTGCAGCTCTCGCCGCCCGTCTTGTACACGGCGATTTCTAGCTCCTTGTCGACCTACGTGGAAGTAGTGCATCGCAATGGCATCGTTGTCCTCGCTCTCGTAGTACCTCGTAGTTGATGACGGTGAGGTTGTATTCGCGGTAGCCGCCGTGCGGGCAGTGCACGCTAGAACCGCGTCAGCCGACGGAGCAGAGCGAGAGGTCCGCACCAGTCGTCGACGGGCACCTCGACGCCCATGAGCCCGAGCGATGCGCCGTCCACGTTGACGTAGCCTTGGAACCACGCGCCCGACTCGGGGAAGCACAGCACGGCCGTCCCTTCCATCGTCGCTCTGAATATTTCAACCAATGGCATCGATGTAAATCACTGTAAGCCAATAATATACCAGTATTGTGTGAAAAAAGAACCAATCACAATCTGGCCAGCAAGTTGCAGTAGCGTTTCGACCAACGTGCATCCTCTCGTCAGCATCTCAGCTCTTGGCCACAAGAGCAATGCGATTCACACATGATTCTGATTAGCCGATTGAAGCCGTCGGACATGGAGTCGCACAGGACCAGAGGTGAGCACGCGGTCCCATCGGTAGTAGGTTGGCTGTGCAGATCGAAACTCTGTGCATTGCGATTGGCTCATAATGGAGCTCAACATGGATGTGATTGGGTAAAATTCGATTAGAGCCAAATTTCAACCGTCAGCAGCATGCTCAGCGCGAAGCGCAAGGCGCGCTTCTTCGACAAGCTCAACGAGATCTACCTTCCGACCAAGCGGCCAGCGAACGAGATTGACGCGCCGTCGGTCGTTTCTTCGTCCACCGGTGACGCCTCGGATCGGCGGCAGTCGTTTCCGCCCATGGCCGTGACCAAAGCGCTCGTCGACAAGGCGCGCCGGCGGCAGTCAATGCCACTCGCAGGACCGCTACAAGGCCTGCGACTGCTGATCGTGCCATTGGGATCCGACATGAGTCGGCGACGCCTCGACATTTGGACGACGCAGGTGGCCAAGGCCGGCGGGCAGCTCGTCACGACGTGCGACGACAGCGATACGATCGTTGTGGCGAGCCTCAGCCTGTCGCGCGAGCGGCTCTGCAGCTACTGCCATGTGTCAGAGATGCCTCCGAGTCTGCGCGTTGTCTCGCCTGATTGGCTCGTGCATGTCATCCAGCACCGCACGTTGCCGCCCGATGGCATGTTTCCGTGGAGGAATGGCGGCGACGTTGCGCCGCCTGTGGCTGCCGATGACGCGCCGCCCCAGAAAGCCTTTTACGAAAGCTCGCCAGGCAACACCCAAGAGAGCCCCGCACCGCCACCAACGCCAAGGTCTGCGATCGTTGTCGCGTCGCCACTACGGGCGCTCGACGAAGACATGGCGTACCGCAAGCGTATCTTTTACGAGAACAACCCGAGCATGGTCGACATCCACGCAGAAGAAGCAGCCGATCCGCGCCAAATCAAGGCCTCGAGCTTTGTGTGCGCGACAACGTCCGGTATGAGGCTTGTCCATTGGGCCCGACGTCGTCGAACCCGCCAGTGTAGTGCAGTCGATCAACCACAACTCGCACTTGACGTCGGTGCTTGACGAGCTCATCGAGTACCTTGCTGTCGAGAAGGACGAGTGGCGCGAGAACAGCTACAAGGTATTTTATGCCGTTTTTCGTGTGGAACTATCGCAATGGATGTGTCTACGCAGCGCATGCTGTCGATTCTCAAGCAGCTGCCGGCCAAGGTCACGTCGACGGCAGCGCTGCGGCCGCAGTACGGGTTTAACGCGACGGGCATCGCCAAGATCCGCGAGATCCTAGAGACAGGCACGCTGCGCAAGCTCCAAGCCAAGAAGGCCGACGCCCGGCTCCAGGTCCTCCGCACCTTTGCCAACATTTGGGGCGTCGGGCCCGCGACTGCGACGTCGCTCTACAGGTAGCATCTCGTGGATCGATCGTCTATGATTTCTACGGACGAGAGTCGCAGCCAGGGCTTCCGGTCCCTCGATGCCCTGCGCGCGCGGCAAGACGAGGTTCTTAACCCACAACAACGCATCGGGCTACATCACTATGCCGATTTTCTGGTGAAAATCCCACGGTACATGCAAGAACCTAACCATGGCGTGCTCATAAGACTCAGGGCCGAGGTCGAAGAGATCCAGGCGATCGTCAAGGCGACGGTCGCGACGATTCACCCAACCGCCGTCTGTGTGACATGCGGGAGCTACCGCCGCGGCAAGCTGCAGTCGGGCGACGTTGACATCCTCATCACTGACCCGCTCGCCGACGAGTGCGTGCTCTTGCCCGGTACTCGATTTATTTGAGTTATTTGGCGCCAAATTTTGATGTAATGACCAGACCTGCTCCGGGAATTGCACAAGCGCACGTTTCTCACGGGTAAGAATGCGTCATCGCGCTTGGTCAGGTTGTCTCGAATACAACGGTGTAGACGACCTCACGACCGTGACGGAGCACCACACGGGCGGCTGCGACTCGTACATGGGCGTCTGCCGCGTCGACGAGGTGCCTACTAGAGGATCTAAATATCAGTAGGAAGCGAAGATCTCATCGTAGCGCCGGCCCTTTCGGCGCATCGACCTCAAGGTGTACCCGCGCCGCCTCTTTGGCTTTGCGCAATTGTACTTTACGGGCAGCGACCACTTTAACCGAAGCATGCGCGCGTACGCCAAGCAAAAAGTGTGTACAATAAGACAATCGAGCGACTGGATGATCCTGCGTAGGGCTACAGCTTGACCGACCGCGGGCTCACCAAAGTGGCCCGCGCCAAAGGCGCCAAGAAGCTCAAGCAAGCGCCGGGTCTGATCTGCCCAGACGAGAAGGACGTCTTCATCGCCCTCCAGCTTCCGTACAAGGTATGAGTGACGTCCGAGAAAACATGGTGGTCAAAGTCGCCATGCGTAGCGGCCGGAAGAGCGCAATTGCATGGCTTGACGCTGTCCCATCGCGCTTCGATAGGCTGCAACCATGAACGAGCAGCTGCTGCCAACTCGTAGTCGTATCAATATAATCGCAGACACAACGTTAGGGCTGTCGGCTGGTGTTGTCGACGTGCTGCTTGGATGGATGGAGACGCGTGGTTGCAGCCGCGCTAGCGACGAGCCAACGCAAGAGACGTCGATGGGCTGGTCTCTGGTCAGTGCACGAGTAGCTTGCGCCGCCCTTCTTCCTCCTCCTCCTCGATACACATTCTCCTGGCGCACCCAAATGCACATGCCTGCTCAGGATCGATCGTCCGAACGGAACGTACAGTGTACATACTATCTGTCACGTCACAACGGCAGATGCTTCTCCTCGGCGAATGAGCGCCTTCGGTCCGGCTCTGCGTCGGCTTCTTCTTTGCATCCGCTTCACTTTTGCTCCTGCCCATCCACGAAACACTTGATACGATGCACGACGTGTTTGAGCTCGCCTACGACGCTCGCGTCCTCGACGTGCGCTGGGTCCCGAACGCCGCCAGCGCGCTCTGCTGCCTCTGCTACGAGTCGTTTGGCCTCTTTGGGAAGCGCCGCCACCACTGCCGGCTCTGCGGCCAGCTCGTCTGCAGCGCGTGCTCGCCCCACAAATCGTTCCTCGTGGGCTCGACGCGCCACGCGTCGCGGACGTGCACCGACTGCGCCTCGCTGCTGACGTGTCTCGCGGCGCAGGGCGACCCGCGCGTCAAGCGGCGCATGGCCTCGCCGTTCCAGAGGAAGACGCGCGCGCCGACGTCGCTGCCGACACGCAGCTCGCACGAGCCGCCGGCCGCCGAGCTGCGCCGCGTGCTCCTCCTCAACAGCAAGGCCTGCGCGACGTACTATGTCGTACACAACCGGTGGTACGAAGCCTGGCTCGCGTACGCCGACGGCGCGACGCCGACGGCGCCCGGTCCTATCTCGAATCACGCGCTGCTCTACTTTTACAACGGACAACTGTACCCGAAACAGACGCTGACGTATGGCAACGACTACCGGTTCCTGCATGAAGACGCGTGGCGGACGCTCTGGGGCGTCTACGGCGGCGGCCCGTCGATCGCCGTGCGCTGGGACGGCGACGCGCCGCCGCCGAGCTCGGACTGGCGCGTCTTCTTCCCGACCATGGGCGCCAAGGCGATGCCGAAGGTCGTCAAGCCCATCTCGCTCCAGCGCATCCGCGCCAGCAGCACAACGCTCTCGGTGAGCTATCCGCGCGGCGACGTCCTCGCCGTCGTGGACCACGATGCCGCGACCTTGTCGGCGGTCGACGAGCAGCCATGCAGTCCGATCCTCCTCATGGCGCCGCGCCCGTCGTTGCCGCCTGCCCAGGAGCGGCAGCGGGCAGCCAAAGAAGCTGTTGCAGCGTTCGCCAAGGCCGCGGGCCAAGCGCGGCGCGAAGCCGAAGGCGTCACGTACCGCAAGTCGCTTGTCTCGCTCGCGGACGTCGACATGCGCATTAGCTCGAGCTTTTGCTCGCCGACGCAAGCGACGCTTCGGACGACCATTGTCTAGCTCCGTATCTCTATTATAGAAAAAGGACTATTTAACGCCATCAACTTGTGTATGTCTGGGGACCAGTCAATGCGCGTCCCACGCTTCTGGCCTCGATCAGACTCGCGAGTGGGACCGCTGGCTGCCTTTCCCATGCCTGCGACCCAAGCTACTGCTTGCATCCAAGAGCAGCTAGCGTGGCTGCGTCGCCTGCAACGTGCGCCGAATCTTCGGTCGCGGCATCCATGTGGCCAAGGCGCGCAGCTTCTCGCATCGCAGCCGGCGTTGGGTGAGTTTACCCTTGCTCGTCGGCAACATGCTCGTCGACGACCGTTCTCGAGACCGAAATGGCAAGTGTTTATTGCTTAGTTGCAGCTCGGGAGCGCATAGGTCTACGTATAGTCTACTACAATTGACTTCTACCGGTACATGCTGCTAATCTAGATCGAGCCGATTGTTCGATCGCACCAGCAGGCTCCACTTCAACCGTGTCAAATCTCCTTTCTTGCAATCGTGACACGAGCTTTATGAGAGATATGCTCCCTCAGGTGATATTTATAGGGAATGTCCTGTGAATTGTATACAAGCTGAGTAACTAATGGGAAACTAACCTTGAACACGATTGCGACCTCGATTTTAGAGAGTATCTCGATATTGAGGCACGTGCGTCGGGCAATAAACTATCAAAGACCTTGTCGTGTGCAAGCTCTGAGAGAAACTAACGAAACTCGACTCTATATTGCATTGACGACGATGACAGCAACCGTCGAGAGCTTGCGCCAGCTCATGTGGGGCGCGTCGGCCGTCTACGAGAGCGAGGAAGAGCTCCGCTGGCAGAGCGAAGGTACCTGGCCTCGCCCTTTCTACTGCGACTGCAGCGAACCAAGTAGACTTTTGCTTTTGCCCGCTGGATGGGCCTGGCCCGACGTGGGGCCTGCAGCAAACCCACGGCGGTCCTTGCGGCGTCTTCGCCCCTGTCCAGGTACTGTCGCCATCCTACGTGATGAGCCATGCTTAGGTCTCTTGCCGTAGGCTCGCATGCTCGTGCACCTCTTGGGCTCGCTGGACACGCCGTTAACCGGCGACGCCCGCGAGCGCTTGCTGGCGTCCGTCTTGGCCGCGATGCTGCTCGCAACGACCGAAGCCGAGACCGACCCAATATGGTTCATAGACGCTGCGCACGTTTCGGCGACCGCGTCGGGGCCCGTGCGTCCGATCGCAGTCGCGCGCGCCGACCTCGAGGCGTCGGTGCGCGACTTCTTCGTCGCTGGAAAAGGCGTCTTGAGCTTCGTGTACAGCATGGTGCTCACGCGTGGCGTCGATCGTCTTCGCGGCGACATGGACGACATGGAGAGCAGCTTGACGATGGGCGAGTTTGGCCACGGCACGCAGGAGCTCCTCAACCTCATGCTCACGGGCCGGGGCACGTCCAACGTGTTTGACGACAGCGTGCCCATGGGCGACACCGGCCTCGTGCTGCGGGGCGTCTCACGTCGCCCTCTCGTCGGGTACCTCACGCAGCTCGAGGCGCTGCGCTACTGCGCCGTGGGCAGCTACTATAAGACTCCGTTGTCGCCGATTTGGGTCCTCGGGAGCGCGAGCCACTTTACGGTGCTCTTTTCGCCACATCTGTCGCTCGTGCAAGAGTCCAACTCGGACGCGCTCTTGTCCAAAGTCACGCGTGCGTTCAAGCAGCACGATACGATGGAGAGCGGGTTCATCGCGCTGGATGCGCTCCTACCGTGCCTGCAGTCGCTCGGCGTCGACCAAGGCATCCTCAGCAACCAGTACCAGATGGGCCGCCTCTTCGCCAAGCTCGAGGTGCGCACTTTTCTCCACTCGACGCGATCTATCAACAACGAGGCGTAGGTGCCGGGCGCGGGGATTGTTCTCTGGGACGACTTTTGGCGCGTCGTCTCCGTCTTGCTCGAGACAAACGACCTCCAACAAGCCATCAACGGCAAGGTCGCGAGTCGCCAGCGCTCCGACTCGGACCTCGCGCGGGAGCTCCAGGCCCAGTTTGATAGCGGTCAAACGGCGGCCGCCGAGGAGAGTGCCGAGCTCGTCCCGATGGCCGCCGACACCGAGGACAAGGTGGTCTTCTACCACTACAACGGCCTCGTCGACAGTCGACAGCCGAACACCGCGTCTCGTGCGCTTTGAAGCCACCGTGCCGAGCCGCAACGTTGTGGGCTACACGGTGCCGCTGCACGACTCGGGTGCGGCGTCCGGCGGCTCGAGTTGCCAGATCGAAGACGTGCTTACGACCAAGTGGCCGGGTATCCATGTGCACTGGGGCGGGCAGGTCCCCCCGCGCCTCGATTAGTGTCTTCACATAAAAATGCTACTACGGATTAGTCGTCGTCGTCCGCGGCCTTGGCGTCGTCGTCTTCGGGCTCGTACTTGCGCAGGCGGCGGCGCAGCTGCTGGATCAGGTCGTTCTTGTCCTTGACCATCTTTTTGAGCTGCAAAAACGGCTTGGTCTGCGAGATGTGGTCCTCCTCCTCCTTCGCACTCGCCTCGTACTCGGCGAGCGCATCGCGGGCCGCGCGAAGCTCCTTCTCGAGCGCGTCCACGTGGCGGCCACTCGATGTTGTCTGCGCGTGCCGGAGCTCGTCCATGTCGTCCTGAAGCCGACTCTTGTCCTTGAGCGCGCGCGAGCAGTCGACTTGAAGCTGCTCGAGGCGGCCGCGAAGCGACTGGTTCTCCTTCTGGAGCGACTCAAACTCTTCGTCGGACCGGCCGGCCTTGGGCTGCACGGCCTTCTTGGCCGACGCACGCTTCTCGTCGCCCGCCCACTCGGCCACCGAGAGCCGCTCGACCTTCTCGAGCATGTCTAGTTGCCGCATGATGTTGTGGGATGTAGGAGCATGCTATCGCACCCTTGTCTTCGACGATGCCCGTGTCAAGCTCGAGGCGCAGCTGGTTCTCTTCCGCTTCGGTGAACACTTGGCGCAAGAGGAGCGCCGTCATGTTGATCGTATCTTGGAGCTCGCTGCGCGCGTTGGCCTACGTGCATGAGCTGTAAAGGCCACGGCGTGTCGTCGCGTGTACCTTGATGGCAAAGCAGAGCGACGTGAGCACGTCCGTCACGTCTTTCTGGCTGTACATGTCGTCGGACGAGAGGCTATAAGAGCATATTGAGCCACGCAGAAGGCGCCATGCGACGACCGATCCGAGCGCGTGTCGTCAAACTCGGCGTCAATGTTCTCGAGGTGCGTCGCCATGCGCGACCGGAAAAACTTGAGAAACTTGGAAATCTAATGGCGCATGAGCGTCGGCGTACGGCGCATGGCGGCGACCTCTGCCTGGTGGTGCGCGTTCATGCCACCCTTCGTGCTCATCGTCGGCCGCTCGATAGCTCGTCGTTCTGTGACCCTTCAAGATCGCGCTGGCGCACGTGCCAAAAAGGGTACAATCTGGTCCTATCCGGGATCTTGTTACTTGTGTTGATACCGAACGTCTTCTCGCAACGAAAACGCTGCCAAGTGGACAGTCGCTGGCCGAGATAGATAATTACATTGGATTGCAGATCGCTGGATAGTTGGATAGTTGGATAGATGGATAAAAAAGGCGATGGGCCAACGACGAGCGACGCAGCAGCGGAAGCATTCGAGGCGCATGGGTCCAAAAGCCTGCGCTATCGACATAATTGGCTCTGTGGAGCTATTCTATCCGGATACCAAACGATCCAAAATGACGTTATCGCACTCTTCTGCGTTGTCGGTTTCGACCGCATTGGAGACGAAGATAGTATATATATAGGAATGGACGCCGAGACCGTGCGCCGGCCCATCTTGCGGCGCGGCTCGAGCCTCTATGCACCGCTTTGGCAGCAGCGCGTGCATGTCGACCACTTGCCAGAGCCGCTTGACCTCGACGAGGACGCGGTGGCGACGGAGCCCGAGAGAATGCCCGACGACCAAACGCACAAGGCCACCACCGTGTCGGCGCCAAGTCCGTCGCTGGCTGAGAGCCCAAGCGGCTCGAACGAAGCGCGGCTCATCGACGCGCTCCTCGACAAGAATAACCAATGCGAGCCGAGCCCAGTCGCCTCGTTGCCCTCGCGTGGCCTCGATCCTACTTCGGCGTACGCGCAGGCCAAGCAGCGCGACCACCTCCACGACTACATGTACATACCACTCTCTACCTGGAGCCTCTCAGTTCTCCTCGTGCAATTGTAGCAAGATGTCGCGGCACATGGTGCACAAGGTCAAATCGGGGCAGAGCCTCGACCGCACGATAGCGCGGCAACAGATCGAAATGACATCGGCCAAGCATCGGTGGCGTCGCTCCATTTCTTGCAGCTTCGAGACTGCTACTTAGGTCCTCGATCGCGCTTGCGCATGCGTGCGTCTCGGCCGTCTCGACCACGATCGCGTCGGCGCCACGTACGATGCAACGACCTCTTGATGCTCCTACCATCGCGTAGGGCCGGTCCTGCTCGACATGGCGGTGCAGTTCCTGTCGCCCAACGGCAATGCGCTCGGTTGCGCCCACGACGACCAGCTCGCGCTGCGCGTCAACACCAAGAAGGTGTTCTTTCGACTGCGCCGAGGTCCTTGGGCACACGACGTGCAAGACACTGGCCTCGCCGCAGTCGCGCTCGAGACGGCAGACCAAACGCGCTTCCTCTGCGCGTCTGCCAAGCTTGGGTCCGTCGTGCGCCTCCAACCCCGCGCATGGAGCGATGAGGCGCGAGGTCTCGTCACGGCCGAGATGTACGCCAACTACAAATGGGTGCTGCAGCCCGCGCAGCTCCAGCGCGGATCGCCCTTGGTTGACAGCATGCTCGTACACTTGACCCAGGTCCGCTATATCGGGGCCACTTCGGTCATCTACTGCCTCGGGCACGACCTGCACATGCACGCGTCGACGGCCACGTATGCGATGGACCACTGCAGCTGGAAGCTCAAGCTGCCGACACGGAGAGCAGCGCCGGTGCAGGCGACCAAGACCAAGACGCGCCCACCGCCAGTGATTTACCCACTCACGCGCCCGCAAAATCGGTACCGGGCGTGGTCAAAAAACCACGAAGCGGCCATCCACGCACGAACCGCGTCCGACGAAGCGAGCCTCAAGTTTCAAGCCGAAATGGAGTCGGCATTCCGAGACCGAACGGCCCGTACGGAGCTGACGACTCGAGTTGACGATGCTCCGGCAATTTCACCAGCCCGCACCCACTGCTCGCGTCAACTGCACAGCAACACATCGGAGCTCACGGATCCGGAACGTCTCCAGCTCTTACAAGTCCATAATCCAAGCGTCTACGGCCGCGTCACAGCGCAAGGCGTCACGGCGACGAGAAGCCTGCCACGCAACACCAAGTATCTGCAGTTCCTCATGAACGGCATGGAGAGAATCAGCCAGCTCCGGCCGCAGTCGGCGTCAACGTCATCCGCCTCCTCGAACGGTATCGTGCCGCGACCGCGCACCGCGCCGCACAAGCCTCAGCTCAGACTCGGCAAGGTCGCGTCGCAGTGATGCTCGGTATCGAGTACCTCGAGAAAGTACGTGCCCAGAAGCAGCGGGAACGGGTGGTTGCCGTCGACGGCGATCGCATGCAGCGGCGCGAAGAGCTTGAGGAGGCTCCGGCCATGTGCTGGCGCCTTCTCGGCCGCGTACACTGCGTCCAAAAAGACACCGGGCGAGAGGCAGAGGCGCATCGACGACGTCGTCGACGCAAAGTACGCGGCGTCCGAGACGTCGTGCACGAACGACGTGAGCACGATAAAGTTGGCGTGCGATCGCCGACGCAGGACGCAGAGCGTAATGAACGGCCGGTGCTGCGGCAGGTCGAGCGCCGGGTTGGCCAATTGCAGCGACGACGCCTAAGCTCGGTAATCAACACAAGAGGCTGATGTATGGTTGATGCGCACTTGACTCGAGTGGAAGAGCGTGCTGTCGCGGTTGAGTTTGCGGGCGGCACCCAAAATGGCGTGGCCGATCGGCCCGACGATATGGTATTCCTTGCGACGGGCTGCGTCCTTGCGCTTGAGAATCGACGAGGCTTGCGTCGGCGACACCATAAAGGAGGTCTACCCACGAGCCATGGTATAGGACCACGACATTGGATGATGGATACCTGGGAGTCGAGGGGAATGCCAGCGCCAGCGTCTTCGATGTCTTCATGGTTGCTGACCGTCTGTGGAAGCTACAACGCAATGAGGTTACAAGACGCGAGATGCGATCGTACGCGTGGCGTGGGCCGCGACGTCGAGAGCACGGAGCTAATAGCTTGCGATGTGGCTTGAGACAGTACGTCGGCCATCGAGCGTTCGTGGTCGACGCTTTCGTAGACCTTTGGCTTCCTACACACACGATGTCGCATCACGCAGCAAGCAGAACGTGCGCTCACTTGTGAGTGTCGAGGCTCGGTCGCGCAATGGGCTGCTTCCGGACAGGCGGTCGCTTCTTCGCCACGACCGGCGGGGCGGACGACCACGCAGCGGGTCGTTCGGAGGCCGCACCAAACGTGTGACTAAGGAGCGTCTTTGCTGGTGAGACTTGTACCCCAGACGCGTCATTGCGCATGGGTCGGGCTACAGCAGGGCGCTGGGACACGAGTGCGGGAGGGCGACGGGCCGGTGTTGAAGTGGTGCGCAATGAGAGTGCAGCAGGCGTTGGTGCCAATTGACGCGCTGAACGCGGCGCTGATCCGATAGAAGAAGCCACCGAGCTTGTGGTGTCGCTTGCGGCTTCGCTTGTAGCTGCTTCGGACGCGACAGGCGGTGCTGCGGGGGTATGAAAGGTCAGGATCGAGTCCAGACCATCATCGTCGTCGTCGTCGCCGTCGCCGCCGTGCGCTCCTCGCATGTGTCCTGCATATCCATAGCATATTGTAGCCAACGCCAGTTGCAGTGCGACCAGGTACGTACCGATGAACTTTGCGAGCAGGCCTTGCTGGCGGATCTGCGCGGTCGCGACCGGCGCGCGCTCTGGTGCTGCATCGGGCTGCGGCGCTGTCGACGGCTCGGACGTCGTTGCAAAGGTCTTGGCGAGCGCGCGGTTCCGGTCAAAGTCCACGTCATAAACGACCTCGTGCTCGTCCTCCTGCGACTGCATCGGTCTGGCCGGCCGCGAAATCCAACTTGTGGGACAAACGCGCGACTAAATTGGGTTTTACGATCGACTAAACTAGGTTTTTCCTTTCGACTAAAACGTTTCGTACACAGCAGCGAGACGACGGCATTCGCGCCTCACCACGAGGCCGTGTGCCAACACTTGCTTCCTCGTCACGGACCGCGGGCAACGGAGCAGAGGCCCCACAGGATACGTAGCTTGGACGCGTGGGACGCGTGCAATCGCAACTCGTTTAGTCGAAGCCCCGCGTAGCAGGTTCTGGCAACGTTCGATTGGCCAAAAAGCGGGCGAGTAAAAATTGCCACAAGTTGAATTGAAGGAACCTCGAGGTCGACGCCAGCACCATGAAGACGCGCATGGCCATCGATGACATCAGCGCCATGGTGGGCTCCATCACCAAGAACGTCGTCAACATGCGCGTGACCAACATCTACGACTCGGAGGTCAACAAGACGTACATCCTCAAGCTCGCGACGCCGGGTCTGCCCAAGGTCTTCCTCCTCCTGCAGTCGGGCGTCCGCTTCCACACGACTGCGTACGCGCGCGAGACGGCGAGCGCACTTCCGCTGCAGTTCACCATGAAGCTGCGCAAGCACCTCCGCGGCAAGCGCCTCGCGAGCGTCACGCAGTGCGCGTCGGACCGCGTCATCGACTTTGCGTTTGGCGACGGCGACCAGCGCCACCACTTGATCCTCGAGCTCTACGCGGCCGGCAACATCATCTTGACCGACCACAACTACTCGATCTTATCGCTGCTGCGGTCGCACACGTACGATGAGCAGGTCAAGGTCGCGGTCAAGCAGGTCTACCCGATGGAGAACGCGATGGTCGTCGGCAACTCGGCCGCCGCCGTCTTTCGCTCGGGCAGCGACCTTATCACGTTCATTCAAACGTACGTTCAGGAGATGGCAACCAAAGAAAGAGCAAGAAGCAGTACACGCTCAAGCAGATCCTCATGAGCAAGGAGTCGGGCCTCGGCGGCTTTGGCCCGACCATCGTCGAGCACTGCCTCGTCAAGGCGCATTTGGCGCCGAGCCTCAAGGTCAAGACCGCGGCCACCAACGTCGTCGTGCCGCTGACGCCGGACGAAGCAGACGCACTCGTCGCGAGCCTCGCGCAGGCCCCGACGCTCCTCGACGAGCTGGCGCAGAACCAGGTGACGCTGCACGGCGAAGGCAGCGACGCATCGGACGTGAGCGACCACGGCTTTATCATCCTGAGCCCCACCACCGGAGCGTTCGATGAGTTTACGCCCTACCTCTACGCGCAGCACGAAGGCCGGTCGGTGCAGCGCTTCCGGACCTTTGACATGGCCGTCGACGAGTTCTTCTCCAAGATCGAGGCGCAAATGGCCGAGGCGGAGAAGAAGCAGCGGCGCTCGCGGCCGAGACCAAGGTCGACAAGCTCAAGAAGCACCAGCAAGACCAGATGGAGGCGTTCCGCAAGACGCAGGAAGAGAGCGTCGTGCAGGCGCAGCTCATTGAGCAAAACCAAGGCGACATTGAAAACGTCTTGTTGGTCCTCCGGAGTGCGCTCGCCAACGGCATGGACTGGAAGGACCTTGAGGACCTGATCAAGCAAGAGCAGAAGAACGGCAACCCGGTCGCATCGCTCATCCACAAGCTCGACCTCGCCCAGAACCGCGTCTCGGTGCTGCTCTGCGACACGGAAGCCGACGACGCCGACATGGAGAGCGCGGTGGCGTACTGTGTGCCGATCGACTTGAGCTTGTCGGCGCTCGCCAACGCGCGGGAGCTCTACTCGAAGAAGAAGAAGGCGGTCGTCAAGGCCCAGAAGGCGACCGAAGCGACCGACAAGGCGATCGAGCAAGCCATCAAGAAGCACGAGAAGAAGCAGCAAGCACAGAAGCTCCAGCGCAAGACGCTGTACCAGCGCCGGAAGACCATGTGGTTTGAAAAGTTCCATTGGTTCATCACCCGGGAAAAGTACATGGTGCTCGCGGGCAAGGACGCGCAGCAGAACGAGACGCTCGTGAAGAAATACCTCCGCAAGGGCGACCTCTACGTCCACGCTGACCTGCACGGCGCCGGTACGTCCTACATATAGAAGTGTGGTGGATCGATACATTGATACATTGATAGCGACCTGCATCATTCGCAACCGCAGCGCCGACGCAAACGACCCGATCCCGATCTCGACCATCGAGCAAGCCGGATGCATGAGCGTCTGCCGCAGCAATGCGTGGGCCAACCAGGTCGTCGCGGGCGCGTACTGGGTTCGCGCCGACCAAGTGTCCAAGACGGCCCCCACGGGCGAGTACCTCACCACCGGTAGCTTTATGATCCGCGGCAAGAAGAACTTCATTCCAGCCTCGCGCCTCGAGATGGGCCTTGCGATCGTGTTTCGGATCGATGAAAGCTCGGTCGCGCACCACCTCGAGCTCGAAGCGCTTGAGAACGACGACGTCACGCCGCGTGGTAGTTCATATATCAGTAGTTATCGTACCATGAGGCTGATACGATGGCGTGTAGCAGTTGCTGTCGTAGACGATGAGAAGCCCGCGGCTGCCGAAACAAGCACCGTCGTGGCGCCCAAGCCAACGGCCAAGACCAAGCCCGCCAAGCCGCAGCCGGAAGTCAAGGCGGCACCCGTCGTTGCGCCCGACGACGAGCCCTCTAGTGATGCCGAAAGCCCTGATGGCAACGGCGCGGACGACGACGCACCCGGGAAGAAGCGACTGAGCGCCAAGGAGCGCCGTGACCTCAAAAAAGCGCGCACCAAGAAGGACGAGGACGACGCTGCCGAGGTCAAGGCGTCGCCGCCGCCGGCGCCGACTGAGAAGAAGCCCAAGGGCGCTGCCCCGGCACCGCCGGTTCGCGGCAAGAAGGGCAAGCTCAAGAAGATGAAAAAGTACGCCGACCAAGACGAGGACGAGCGGCTCCTGCGCCTCGCCGCCCTCGGCCACGTCAAGGTCGCGGAGCTCACCGAGGCGGGCGAGAACGACAAGGTATCCAATTCGCTTCGTGTCGATCATCCTAAACACGGTGTGTAGGAGGACGAGACGCCGGCCAACGACGAGACCGAAGACGCGACGCCGAGCGAAGCCGGCACGAGCGTGGTCGACGACGAAAAGGAAGCCATCTACGCGCTGCACCGTGAGCGCAAGGCGCAGCTGCAGGAACAGGAAGAGGAGGAGGCGCAGAACGCCGCGTTCCTCGACTCGTTCACGGGCACGCCGCTGCCCAACGATCTGCTTTTGTTTGCAATGCCCGTCTGCGCGCCGTACTCGACGCTCGCGCTGTACACGTACAAGGTCAAGCTCACGCCGGGGTCGCAGAAGAAGGGCAAGGCCGTCCAGTTTGCGGTCGACCACTTTCTCAACCTCAAACCCAAGATCTCGTCGGCGATCAAGACGACGCCCGTTGACGTAGACGCAGCAACCGACGAGGTGACGCCCGACGTGGACCCGATCGAGGCGCAGAAGGAGCTCATCAAGTGCGTGCCAGAAGCCGACCTCGTCGGCTGCATGGTGGGGCCTGTCAAAGTCTCGGCGCCGGGTCTGAGCACCGCCAAGAAGGGCGGCAACAACAAGCCCAAGAAGGCCCACAAGAACAAGTCGACCTAGCGTTGTATTCGCATGTACACATTGTTTCGATGCCACCGAGGTGTTTGCCACCCGTGCTCGTGTACCAGCGTCTACAGTTGCTCGTCGTCGTTTTCGTCGGTGGTGGATGCGGCCACGACCGAGTTGTAGTGGGCGCCGAGCGTATAGTAATGCAAATGGTACCTACACAGAGCATGAGCGTGGACGCAGAGTCGAGGACGCACGAGACACGCAGCGGCGCCGTGTGGGCAGCGCTAAAGTCGTCGCCCATGACGAGGACCTCCGAGCCCGCCGCGTAGACATGAATCGGGCGCTGGAGGCTCTGTGCGAGCGCCCGCAGCTCGATCTGCCCGCCCCAGTCGGACGAGTGCTCGACGCGGTGGCAGTAGGCTGCGTATTGGTCTAGACATGCACGCTAAGATCTGGCATCTACAACTGATGCGCGTAGTACCTTGGAGCGACTCGTCCGACTCGTAGTTGAGTTCCACAAACGGCATAAAGTCATCAGCGTTGGCAAGGAGCGACGCTGCCGTGAGCTGGCGCAGGTACAGGTGCGGCGGCTACATGCCGCATGACGCATCGTTCCAGGTCAAGGATGAACGTACCAGGGCGCCCGTGGACGGCAGCTGCCCGATGCGTCGCAACTGGTCGGCAATCGCGTGGTACAAGCAATGACCGTCGGACGGGATCTCGTGGATCGTCATGGTTAGCGACTGAAGCTGCAGTGCAATCTGGTCGAGCTCGATCTTGCGCTCGCTCACGACGTTCTTGGACTCTTCTTCGATGCGCAGCTGCCGGTCCTTCTCCTCCTGCTTCTTCTTCTCCTGTAATCGCCGCCGTTTTTACGCGAATACGCTAGATGGACAGGTCGTACGCGCTTGCGCTGCGCCTTCTCGAGCTTGGCGTTGGTCGAGGCCGGCGTCGCGTCGGTGACCGGCGGCGCCGCGTCGCCGATCACCGTCTCGTCGTCGTCCTTGGCCTAGAAAACATTGCGCATACCGTGAAGCACATCGCTGCAGAAAAGATGCATGCACGTACAAAGGCGAGAAGCTCGGCGGCATGGCGTTCCGTCATCTCTTGCTCGAGGCGGACAAGCTCGTCTTCAATGTCCTTCTTGGACTTCTTCTCCTTCTTCCACTTCTTCTGAAGCAGCTTGGTCTGGTTCTGCCACTCCTACACCGCCCGAGCGTGATGCTTGGCCATACGTCCATGGGCGCGCACCCGCGCTTCGAGCTTGTGGCGCTGCTTGGCCTGGCCTTCCGTCTCGTTCCTCGACGCCATCGTTTTTCCAGTGGCCAAACGTCCGGATACGATGCCACTGCCGCCATCATCCGGATAACGCGCACCTTTCTAGCCAGGAGGACCGGGATGGCGTGGCTCGCCGCGCATTTGACTCGCTTCTTCCAGAGCTGCTCTTAGTGTACAAAGGTGGTCGCGTGACGATCACGCAGTCCATCGCTCTGACGATGGCTCGACCTCCAGAGCTCTGTTTGTGATCAATCTAAAATAGACGCTTTTCATTGGTCTGATTTCAAGCTCTTTATGCCCTATCACAAGTCGCCATCCACGATCCGAGCGGCGGCGATCCCGACGGCCTCGCAGCATGAAAGTACATTCCAAGTAAAATAACTCATACGTTGCAGGTGGGTTAGAGACTACTCTGGAGAGCTTAAAAAGCCACGTCGCATCGCCGTTGGATGCCTAATGCAGAAGAAATTCTCGTTCAACTCGTTCCCGCCTGTTAAACGCATTTCACCTCACGTCCAATATATTTAACCTGTTGGCTCCAGCAGTTCGGTGGCTTATTACCGACTTTAACGTCGACACGTTTTCTGGGTAGCTGTCACAGAGTGCTGCCACGTAGAGATCCGGCTCAGCTGTGAATGGAGCGCTACTGGTGTATATTACACAGAACGTCGAGCACGCAGCAGCAACGCGGCCGACGTAGCCAGCATATTGTTCGTAGCTGGACGACGCGGAGTAGAACGACCCATGGCGCCAGCCTGTGCTGCAAAGCCACAACGAGGGCCGGCAGCAGCAAAGGCCTGGGCCGCCTGCGCCTGGGCGAGCCGCACCACGTGGCCGATCGATAGATGCGACGACAAGGCGTCTGCGAGCACGCTGCAGCAGCTGCGTCGCAACTTGCAGCATCGCTTCTTTCTTCCGTCTTGTTTGGAACACCAAGGCGAGGAAGTGATTCGCATGACGTGGCATTAGCTCCGAGCTCCGAGACGTTGATGTCGTCGTTGGAGAAATGAGTCCTCCCATTCGATGCAACGGAAAAAGGTCGAGCACTCGTGTAGAAACGACTTGCGTCAAGGCGACAACGCGGCGAAGCGAGATCGAGTCAATTAGTAGGAATGCGTCGACTATGCCTCCAGGCGATACCAGTCTCAAGAATACTATGAGCTACGACTAATGTTATGTCATCAGCAGTCTTTGCTCGTGTCGATCGTACATACTTCCAAATAAAACCTCCTCCGTCATAATGTAACCCCACCCCTGTCATAACCCTACCCCTCGTCCACGTGACTCGAGGGGACCACTAAAAAAGGCCGCAGCAGCGATGAAGCAACAGGGTGGGACTGGCATATATGATATGATACTACACTCTACAGCGGCTCGTCGGCCAAATACGTGAGCGCGAGGCCGTGCAGGTCGCGGTGGGTAAACGATGCCTGGTCCGGAACGTCGACGCCGTGCTCCAGCAGAAGCCTTCGCACGCCCGCCGCCGAGAGCAGTGAGCACATGACGTCCAAGCACTCGCGCTCGTCGTAGCGTGGCGCGCCGTTCGCTTCCACCTGGCGATCGTCGTCGACGTCGGGCGCGTCGACGGGCGAGAAGGCCGACGTGATGAGACAGCCGCCCTCGCTCTCGACCTCCCAGGCTTCCTGCATCGTGTGGATCGTTTCGAGTGCGCACTTCTGCAGACCCGCGTCGTCCGACAGCATGAGCGTCTTGAGGTGGTACGCGTCCTCCTTCGTGAGCCAATCGTGGTCGACGAGGCACTCGAGCTGGGCCGCTTCGACGTGCAGGCTCTTGCGGCTCGTCACCGTCGGCCGTCGTTGCCGCTCGAGCGACGTCGGCGGTGTTGCCACAACCGCGCTGAGCATCGGTGCGGATTGCGACCGGAGTGGCTTGGTCACCGGCGGCGGCGAGTAGGCAAAGGAGCCAAGGTACCGAGGCCACCACCCGCCGCTGTACTCGACGTCGTGTTCGGCTTCGAGGGCCTCGAGTTTGCGCACCGCTTCGAGGCTCACCCACTCCCAGAACGCCGTCCACGAGAGCGTGTCGTCGGACGTTGGCATGGCGTCGGGCGGCGAGAGACCCGCGGCGCGACACAGCTTTTGCACCAGCGCGACGCCGTCCGCAATGGGCACAGCGCCATCGCCCGACGGGTCAAACTCGGTGAAGAGCACTTTGGCGCCAAATTCAAGCCGCTCAATCTCGTCCGTGGCGCGCGCCAGCGACGAAAATACCCTTTGGTCGTGCCGTTGTAGGCC